TTGATAAAAAACGAACTATCGTGAAAGGGAATGCATGGAACCGACTTAGGGGCGTCCCCTCGTGTTAGCGTTACCGGCTACTGACTAGCAAGAGGTCACGCAAGTAGCAACGGGAATTAAGGAAGAGAAGTAAGTTGTCAACCCCGCTTATCGTCAACAAAGTTAAATTAGAGTATGTTAAGTTAAACTTGGCTAATTTAGTATATTATTTTATTTGGGATTCCCTTATATCTGATAAAAAAAATAACTATTAATAAAATTTTTTCAATTAATTTTATATGGATTATATTTCAATTTATAGCTATTTTCAAATAACTAATTTTATAATGTAATAATATTCTTTTAGTTTAAGTTAGATATAGATAGCATTGATTACAAATATTGGTATATTTATGCTTACTTTAAGATAATATGAAAAAAGATCACATGCTATCAACGATCATAATGGTAATAAAAGAAAATTATTATTCTATTAATGATCAATTTTTACATTTTAGACAGTAAACACATCAAACAATTATTAAACTAAAATGTCAATATTTAATCAAAACAACGGTGCTGAAAGCTGTCCATGTTAGCCACGCACCAAGCTAATGATATTATATAGATATTTTTAAGCAATAATAACAGTCAAATTTTAAATAAAACCATCGGTTTTATAGTGACCCAAACTAAGCGCTATCATGGTACAATAAAAAACTGTTGATCACTATCTACTGACATGAACCGTCAACAATAAACTCGAATTATTTTAATGATTGATTGCTCGTGATTTTAAGTTGCTATTAGCCAACCAAAACAAAATGAGTCAATTTTAGTTTAGTTCTGATATTAGAGACGGAGAGAAGTGTTAAAGGACCAAGTTTTAAACTCCTACTCGTCATTTTTTGTTTTTTTCCTTTCGGTTTGATTTTGGAGCACTCATGGGAACGGGTTTCATTTTACGGGCGAATCTCGTAGCAATTAACAACCATATGACCATATCCAAGTTCATAAGAATCAAGGGTCAATGATTTATTCTTATCAAGCAAACCGAATAGTTTTTTTTTCAATCAGTTTATTGGATCGATTTGGAATGGTGTTGAGCAGCTTTATGGCGGTTCACTCAAACAATCCCATCCGTACTGTGGTAGCATAATGCGAAGCTTACAACATGTCTCAGCTTGTCATGTACCCAATTGGAAATAATCACATCAGAAAGATCCCGAAGGAGTTATGTCTACAAATAATATAGTTTCTCAGATCGTCCACAAGAATTCGACATCATTAATTGTGCATCCAAACAAAAGAAGATAATTGCTAGGCTTGGCCCTTCGATCAGATACATACATAGCCAACCAACGATTCAAGTGAACAGTCATCCTTTTGTGATACATAATGTTGAAACACGTCTTTTGTATGCTTAAGAAAATTTCCGTTAAGAATCTATGTTATTAATCGCAGAACGCGGATAATAGAGCGAATGAGTAGATTATTGGGTGTTTGAAAAAGGGTATGGCCAGATACAAGAGAACATAAAGGCAAAAGCTACAAATGCGAGGAAAGGACAAAATACCACTGAGGAATCTGCATTCCTAGGAAATTTTGTCCTTGCCAGCCACCCCTCCAGTTTCGAGACTCTGCAGCTCGCGTCAACCCTCGCGAAAACAGTAGCATGTTAGATTGCTGATAAGAGAAACGCATCACTCGCTCCCACCTACTCCTCCACCACACACGCCGCTCCGCGCAGCTCTCTCACTTCTAGTCAATCCAGCCCCACACCACCATACACCCCATCGGGGAAGCCCACCGCTATACACACAGCTAACTCCACGCCCCCAGCCTACGGCCCACGCAGCGTCGCCACCCCCCCCGTAGGTTTCCGTCCTCCCCCCCCTGGGGCCTCTCACCCTGCCGCTCGATACTCCACGGTCTATACCACACCCCACCGGCCCCCATAATTGGAGCGGTGAGCAGGAGCTGGCACCCTTTTAAAAGTTATGGATAGAGGTAACAGTACGGAGCTTGGCAATATGTTATAGTAAGTAAAGTAGGCTTACAAGATGGTTGAAATAAAATTCGCACTCTCACAGTGGCTGTGAGTCTATGTTCTCCTCCATCGACTCAGTAGAATTAGGTAGTTCTCCTCGAGCAGCCTCTCAACCCGTCGACAAACATTACCCACCCCATAGTCGAGCCGCCACCCAAAGGCATCGCGCACCACCCACTCCGCAGGGATTGCCTACAGCCTCGATTGCATGTTGCCTGAATAGGCGAATGAAAATACTGAAAACAGTGTCTACAAAAACTCTTTTATCAATCCCATTCTCATCTCTCGCATTAAAACTTTCGCACTTTAGAAATCCTGTCTCTTAGTTGAAAAAAAGGTCTCTAAATCTGACTCACTCTCACCCTGCTCCACAGACGACGGCCAACCCCAGCCCACCCAGCGCTCTCTTCACCCACTCTGGAAACTTGTAATTACATCCATAGAAATTCACAAGGCACTTGGAATTTTCAAAAGACCCCCACACCCTTCTCTCGCCCCGCTCTCTCTTTATTAATTTATGATTTCTCTAATTATCTATTATTATACTTTCAAAACATGGATTCTGTTAAAACATTGTATCATGGTAAAGGGTCAAGAAGTCGTTCTCTGCCAAAAGACAGGATAGAATGGGAATATAGCTTTTTCGTTGTCTAGGATAATACTTTTTTCGTGTCTAAGGGATACAGCAAACATAAATAAATCACGCACACTCCCTCTCCACATCCATCCTCTCCATTCTAAATTCACAGCCTCTCGCTTTCCTTTCATATAGCTCTGAATAGATAACTTAGATCAAAAGTTCATATTAAATGATACTTGCAAATCAATTTTCTTTTATTGTTATCTTATGTGTTGAATTTGGTGTCACTCCTCTTTCGTGCTTCAACAAGAGTGGTTTTAAACCCTTTGCCATTCTCTCATGTTTTTTAAAATCATAGCGCACGCTCTCGGCACCATTTTGATATGAATGACGCAAAACAAGGAGCACCAATCTCCGCCAACTCGTCTTCCCGGAGCCACACGGACACCGGAGCTGCTGGCATTTTGGGAACAGAAATGGCAAGTTGTTCCGCGCCCCCCCCCCAGTCCCCATCCGCCCCCCCCCCCCCCCCCCCTCTTTGAGCCTTGGGCAGACTAAGCAGAGAATCAGACACGGACTGATTGTGACATTATTGGCTGTCCACGACTGTTGTCTTCAAACTAGATTCCATGCAGTTTTCAGGCACAGGATTGATATATAAAGACACAGGATTTTAAGTGGGAAGTATTTTTTATTGTATTCGTTGAACCCCACTTCCTAGGGGCTATTTAATGTTCAGAAATTAAGGACTTTTTTTTGTGGATTATCATTCCGCTCCCTTAGGGGTTGTGAACGGAATTTGGAGCGCGAGAATTGTTATTTGAAGAGATTTCTGACCTCATGAGAGCTTAATTCTTGTGAGGATGATGTTTTCTTCAATAGCCATGTGTGGCTAAGCGTTCTGTTCAGTTAAGGCTAAACCAAGGTAGAAGTTTGATTTCGATTGTGAGATTATATTGAACTTAATTGAATTTCTTTATTCTATTGCATTTATATCCTTTCTGTGATTTATTGAGAAAATATATCCCCTAGTGAAATTCTATTGAATGGTTTAACAGGGCCCGTTATGTTGATTGGTAGAAATTTCCATAGCTATTCGGCGTAATCAAATCCGTAATTGTTTGGTTAGGTTGATGCAGTAGTAATTAATATAACTTAATTGGGTAGAACTTTTTAGGTTGTATTAAAGAAAGAATAATAATCAGATTTAAATGGATGACGTAGTTTTCTGTTAATCTGGACAGGGCTTCTATTAAGAATTTTAAAGGCGGTTAACGAGTTAAATCCTTCGTCGTACTTAGGATTGGCTAGCTTGATTAGGCGGTTTGTTATTAGATCGTATCTTACAACCTATTCCTACGGTAGAAATTTGGTTGGGTTGACGTTCTTCTGCTTATAACTTGTCTGTAATATGAATTAAGGAATTAATCTTGAATCAATGATCACTCGAATCAAATTTTTCGATCGCGGTATGCTTGCTGAAATTTTCTATCAATTGTTCAGGTTCAAAATTTTTTAATTTTATTGCATTTATTTCTTTGATTTAATTTTAAATTCGTTTAGTTGCGATTATTAAATTCCCCGTTTCAATATTCTATCTATTTTTAATTTTATTTTCAGTTTTGGTCTATTTTCGACAAAGCTAATCCCTAGGGTTCGATCCTTCTCACCATATTTACAAGTTTTATTTTGTAGGGGAGTAGGTTAATTATTTTTGGCGGATTCGACGCCTGTCAAATTTTGGCGCCGTTGCCGGGGACTAGTTAACTTTACTGTTTGTTGTCTTTTTGAATGACCAGGTCTAAAAATTTGCCAATATTATTTGATCCTGAGATAGAGAAAACAGCCCGCTCACTAAGGAGACAAGCGAAAGAGCGAAAGTGGGCCGAATCGATTTCCGGTTTCCGGAACTGAACGGAAATCCAGCCAGCTGGTTCACCTTGAATTTACAGCTGAACCAAAGAAGAAAGTCTAGAGCAGGAAGAGATTTTGCAGAAATTGACCAAGAGTGAAGCTTATGGCTGAAAACCGCACTGTTCGAGAAGCTACAGGCTGCCCCTTGTTAAGAGCAGCAGCCCTATGTGTATTACTTACCCGAGTTGGAAGTGCCATTTGAGTGCTTAAAATCGGGTCTGATTCATCAATCAACTTCCGACTTTCCATGGAATGAAGACCGAAAACCCGCATAATCACTTGAAGGAATTCCATGGAGTTTGTTCTAGCATGAGACTGCATGGGTTAACTGAAGAGCAAATTAAGTTGAGAGCATTCTCGTTCTCACTTAAAGATGCTGCTAAGGAGTGGTTGCTTAATCTACCTCCAGGTTCCATAACCACATGGCCTGATATGGCCCGAGCATTCTTGGACAAGTATTTTCCCGCTTCTAGGGCAACCATCATATGAAGAGAAATTTGTGGGGTTAGACAAAAGGCTGGAGAGAGTCTTTATGACTATTGGGAGAGATTCAAGAAGTTATGTGCAGCCTGCCCGCAACATGGGATGTCTGAACAGTCCCTAATACAGTACTCTTATGAAGGGATGCTTGACATGGAAAGGAAGATGCTTGATGCAGCTAGCGGGGGAGCACTTGTTAATAAGACTCCACTCGCAGCAAGAGAGATTATTTCCACTATGGCCGCCAATTCACAATAATTTGGCCAAGTTGAAGAACCGACCAGGAAGCTATATCAGGTATGTGATTCTTCCATTCAGTCTCAACTGAACTAACTAACCTCTATTGTTAAATCTATTGCTGTAGGGCAACCTGTGAAGAGAAGTGTGTGCGAGGTATGTTGCAGCGATCACCCAACTGACACATGTTCATCATGGTATGGTGATCAAGAGCAAGTTAAAGCTATGGGAGGATATTCCGGGCAGCCCCAAAGACCGATGGGTAACTGGGGTTAACACCTTCATAGTACAAGAATCATCCTAATCTTAGCTATGGAAGCAACAACCAAAATTTCCAAGGATACCAACCAGCTAGACCACCTCCTCAACAAGCTCCTCCCCCAAAAATACCATTGGAAGATATTGTGAGGTCACTTGCCACTTCTCAACAAGAATTCCAGCAAGAAACAAGAAAGGGAACACAGAATATGGAACAACAAATTAGTCAACTTGCATCTTCCTTGAGTAGATTGGAAACACAAGGGAGGCTTCCTTCCCAGCTTCCTTCCCAAACGGTGGTAAACCCAAGGGAAAATGCAAGTGCGATCACTTTGAGGAGTGGTAAAGAAAACACAGCAGCCCCTAAAAAAGGCAGCAGCAGTTCTAAGGAAGAAGCTGAAAAGGAGGTAGAAATTCACCGAAATGGGCCTTCCGAACAGGCTGAAGTACGGCAGCCCCAAACCTTTACTGTTCAGCCTCCTTTTCCTGAGAGATTGGCGAAAACAAGGAAGGAAAGTGAAGACAAAGACATTTTGGAGACCTTTCGCAAGGTGGAGGTGAATATTCCATTATTGAATGCTATTAAGCAAATACCCAAGTAAAAGTTTCTCAAGGAACTTTGTACCAACAAAAGGAAGGTAGATAGTGTTGAGAAGGTGGAGATGGGTGAAGTTTGCTCCGCCATGATTCAAAGAAAGAGGCTCCCACAGTTTGCTCCGCCATGATTCAAAGGAAGAGGCTCCCACCAAAGTGTAAAGATCGAGGTATGTTTGCTATTCCTTGTAAAATAGGCAATGTAGGGATTAAGAGATCTACGTGTGATTTAGGAGCTTCTATAAATGTCATGCCTTTATCTATTTACTCATCTTTCAAGGGTTGTCCCTTGAAAGAAACGCGTATTATTATTCAATTGGCAGACATGTCTATTGTGTATCCCGTGGGATTGCTAGAAGATGTTTTGGTTCAGGTTGGTGATTTAATTTTTCCAGCAGATTTTTATGTACTTAATATGGAGGATGATAAATCCTCGACTATAGCTGATTTGTTACTTGGGAGACCTTTTCTCCGCATTGCAAGGACAAAAATTGATGCCTATGAAGGCACATTATCTATAGAGTTCGATGGTGAGAAAGTCGAATTTAATGTTTATGAGGCTATGAAGTACCCTAGTGATGTGTCTAGTATTTGTTCTATTGATGTAATTGATCCTTTAGCATAAGAAATGTTTGAATAAGATGTTGTTGATGAGCTTGATTTAGTGCTTTGCAAGAATATTAATATGGACAGCATTAAAGTGAGGAAACCTTCTTAGTTAATGAAAATGTACAGGAAATTGTGTGTGAGATGGAGACAAATCAGCCCCTAACAAGCAGCCACAGCCATATTGTTTTGCCTTCTCACCATGAGAAGCTTTTACCATCTGTTTTGCAGGCACCCAAGTTAGAGTTGAAACCGCTACCCGGCCACTTAAAATATGCATTTTTGGGGAATGGAGACACATTGCCTGTTATCATCTCCAGCAAACTTTGTGAGGTTGAAGAAGAGAGCTTGGAAGAGAGCTTGGTTCAAGTTCTTAGGGAGTATAAAGAGGCCATAGGATGGACAATAGCAGATATTAAAGGGTTGAGTCCATCAACTTGTATGCACAAGATTCTTCTAGAAGAAGGCAGCAAACCCACAAAAGAAGCTCAAAGGAGGTTGAATCCACCTATGATGGAGGTGGTGAAGAAGGAAATACTGAAGTTGTTAGATGCTGGTATGATTTACCCGATTTCTGACAGTAAATGGGTAAGCCCTGTACAGGTAGTGCCTAAGAAGACAGGAATTACTGTAGTGGAGAATGCTGAAGGAGAGTTGCTTCCTACAAGAGTTCAAAATGGGTGGAGGATGTGCATAGATTATAGGAAGTTAAATGCAGCCACAAGAAAAGATCACTTCCCACTTCCATTTATTGACCAAATGACCAAATGTTGGAAAGATTAGCCTGGTCGTTTCATTATTAGTTGTTTGATGGTTTTTCAAGGCTTCTTTCAATACCAGTGGCAACTCGAGACCAAGAGAAGAACGACCTTTCCAACTTGCCCTTTTGGTAACATTTGCTTATCGACGGATGCCGTTTGGTCTTGCCACGCACAGCTACATTCAAAAGGTGGTATGGTTAGTAATAATTTTCAGATTTTGTAGAGGAGATTCATTGAGTTATTTAGATGATTTTACTATCTATGTAATTGTTTTGATGAATGCTTAACTAACCTTAACAAAAGTCCTTAAAGAGGTGTATAAGAATCAAACCTAGTGCTAATTATTGAAAAAATGCCCATTTTATGGTGGACCAAGGTTTGATTCTAGACACATTGTTTTCATCAAGAGGCATTGAGGTTGACAAAGCTAAAATTTGATGTAATTAAAATCCTTACCTACCCTGCAAGTGTGCGGGAGAATTCGTTCTTTTTCCTTGCCATGCCAGGTTTCTTACAGACGCTTTTTAAGGATTTTTTCAAAGATAGCTCAACCGCTTTGCAAGCTTTTGGCAAAAAGAATGTGGCCTTTTGTGTTCAATGGGGAGTGTAGAAGAAGCGTTTGATATGTTGAAGGAGAAGCTCATTTTCTGCTCCAATAGTCCAACCCGAATTGGAACTATCCTTTCGAGATTATGTGCGAGTGCGAGTACTATGCTTGTAGGGGCTGTTCTTGGACGCGATTTGAGAAGAATCCTCATGTCATATACTATGCATCAGAACGCTGGACAAATGCCCAATGCAACTACTCTACCACAGAGAATAGAGCTTTTGGCGATGTGTTGCTTTTTGCGAAAAGTTCAGCGTCGTATTTGTTAGGAACAAAGGTGATAGTTTTCTCTGAACCATGCAGCATTGAGGTATTTGTTAAAGAAAGAAAGGATTCAAGCCCCGTATTTGATTAGTTGGATTCTTTTTGCTTCAAGAGTTTGTATAGAGATAAGAGATTGAAAAAGGGGTCCGAAGAATCTTGGTTCGCTGGATCACCTTAGCCGGTTGATTTTGATGAAAAGCATCCACCCATTGGACGATGATTTTCCAGATGAGGGCACTCTTTAGCTTCCAAAAAGTTGTTTCATGGTATGCTGATAAGTGAATTATTTAGTTGCAAGGACTTTACCGGGAAAATTTACTAGAGGCTGCAAAAGATAAAAATCAAGAGAGATGCTAAGTATTTTGTTTGGGATGATCCATACGTTGTGGGAAGTTTTGTTCTGACCAGGTGATTAGAAATGTGTTATGATGTGGGAAGTGCCATCCATTCTGAAATTCTGGCCATTCATGCAGCTTGTGGATGTCCATTCTTGGTCCGGTCCTCAACGAACAGCTCGCAAGATTCTGGAGTGTGGACTTTTCTGGCCATCAATGTTTAAAGACTCGTACATTTATTGCAAATCTTGCGAAAATTGCCAAAAGACAGGTAATTTGAGTCGTAGAGATCAGATGCCCCTTACCTCTATTCTTATTTGTGAGATTTTTGATGTGTGGGGTATAGATTTTATGGGGCCATTCCCATCATCGAACAGCTACATATTGTTGGCAGTGGATTACGTTGGATTACGTGTCCAAATGGGTTGAAGCTAAGGCAACCCGGACTGATGATGCGAAGACGGTAGTGAATTTTGTCAAGAGCCATATCTTTTCTCGGTTTGGAATTCCAAGAGCAATTATAAGTGATCGAGGAACTCATTTCTGTAATAAAATTATCGAGAATTTGTTCAAGTATGGTATTACGCATCGTGTCTCTACAGCCTACCACCCCAGACAAGTGGACAAGCAGAAGTTTCGAATAGGGAAGTGAAGTCGTGAAGTCTATACTGGAAAAAACTGTGAGTCCTAATAGAAAAGATTGGAGCGTCAGGCTGGACGACGCTTTATGGGCTTATAGGACAGCGTATAAGACACCAATAGGAATGTCACCTTATCGCTTAGTTTATGGCAAACCATGTCATTTGCCTGTCGAATTGGAGCACCGCGCATTTTGGGCTATTCAGCGCTGCAATATGCAGTATGGTGAAGCTGGTGATAACCGAAAATTACAATTGCAAGAGCTTGAGGAAATTCACAATGAAGCTTATGAAAGCTCCAGAATATACAAAGAGAAGACTAAGGCTTTCCATGATGGCATGATATCCAGGAAGAGCTTTGTAGTTGGTCAAAAAGTTCTATTATTTCATTCTAAACTCAAATTATTTCCTGGTAAGTTAAGGTCCTTATTTCCTGGTAAGTTAAGGTTCCAGATTGGACTGGTCCCATTTGTTGTTACTATGTTTTGCTCATGGTGCAGTTGGGGAAAAAAAAAAAAAAAAATTCAAAGTCCTAGAGACCAATAAAAATTTTTAAAGGTGGAATGGGCATCGAATTGAAGCCATTTTAATGAAGGTTTTGGCAGCTAACTCAATCGGGGTAGAATTTGAGGCTTGAAGAGTCCTGGGGAGTACACTGATTAGCTCAAGAAAGTCTAGCCGGAGACGATTAAAATCACGCGCTTACTGGGAGGCACCCAGCATTTAGTTTTTGCCTCATTTTATTTTTATTTTATTTTTTTTTCTCTCTGATTTTCCTTATTTTTTTTTCTTCTTCATTTTTTTTTTTTTTTTGAAAAAAAAAAAAAAAAAATTTTCAATAAGGGTGTAACCTGGGGACACTGTGTTTTTCTGGGTTCAAGAGTCTAGAGCAGAGCTTCTATGGGGTTTTTAAATGGCATGGTTAAAGTTGTTTTATTTTCTATTTTACTGTGTTCGTTGGGGTGAGTATAGAGAGTTTATTCGTTTTAGCAAGGGGGTATATATGCGTTGGCTGACTTAGAGTTTTTTTTTTCTTTTTCTTTTATTCAGCTACTTTGTTATTATACTGGGTAAAAATAATAATAATAATAATAATAATAGCTGGTTATATTTGTGCGGCAACAGTAAAGAAAACAAAAAAGAAAAAAAAAGAGAGAATAAGAGAACCCAAACAGGGGCAGCAGGCACAATAGGGGCAGGAGGCGCTCTTTCGATGAAACCTGCGTTGGCTGAGATTCTTGAACGACGGCAGGAGTTCTGAAGATCGACGACAAGAATTTTGTCACTCCGATCGACAACCTAAAACCCAAACAGACTTTTGTTTCGTCCTTAGCCCAATCCTACGTCACTTTACAGCGCGACGCAAAATCCAACAGCAGCGTCTTCCTTCCTCATCTGATTCCTTTCCGTGCCAACTTCAGCAACAGGTATTAATTTACTTCCTATTAGAATAGAAATCGTGATTTAAGATAGTGTCTGTGCTCCAATTTACTGCATTGTCATCGATTTCAATTGGGTTTTTTTTTTAGTTAATCAATTGTTGCGGAATTTGAATTAGGGAAGAATTTAGGTATATTATAGATTGTTGGCTGAAGCTATTTGAGCACATTATGATTTATGGGTTTTGTTGTTTCGCAAGTTTTTATTAGGTTTTATTGCTTAACTTTGCAATACTTGCTGAAGGGGAAGTTTTTATCTTGCTGAAGGGGAAGTTTTTATAATTTTCTTGCTTGTTGATAATTCGAATTTTGTTTAAATTGGAGTTGGAATTGATAACTGAGTGGAGTTCGATTGCTGAATATTCTGAGTTGGGTTTAATTCTAGGCTTTTATTGACTAAATTCAGTGTTCAATGCGATTTGGGATCAATTTATTGGGTTTAAAATTAGTATTCTGAATATAAGCTCTTAAAACTTAGAATCTGTTGTCATTGTTTCAACTAAGTTTGCTTGCTTGTTTTGCTATGTTGTTTTAATGCCATGTTCAGTATTGAGAGTAATAGGTACAACATCAAACCCAATTGATTGAATTGCAGAAGTTGGTGGGATTGGAAATATGCCATGTTCAGTATTGGAAATTTGATTGAGTCCTTTGAGGTAATAGAAAGCTGAAATAACATTTGCAGCCCTAACAACCATTTGGTTTGCCATTTTGTTCTTTTGTTTTTCTTTTGGTAGTTGGGTGATCGCTGCAACATACCTCGCACACACTTCTCTTCACAGGTTGCCCTGCAGCAATAGATTTAACAATAGAGGTTAGTTCATTCAGTTGAGACTGAATGGAAGAATCACATACCTGATATAGCTTCCTGGAGGGTTCTTCAACTTGGCCAAATTGTTGTGAATTGGCGGGGAATGTGACCATCTTTGCTGAAATTTTTAATTTTACTGCCATGTGTTGTTCTTAGTACTTGCTTATGTTTATGCTGCTGCCATGTGCATATTTGGTATGAAACTTGACCGGTTTTGACTGTTTTGTAAAAAAGTTTTTATTTACCACTTATCCCATGAATATTTTGAGTAAAATTTTTTATTTTTGAGCTGCCTTTTGTCATATGCATCACATGCATATGCATCCGGGGGAAAGGGGTTCACAGAAACTTGACCATTTTTGACTGTTTTGTAAAAATGCTCCTAGAGTTTTTGTTTACCACTTATCCCATGAATATTTTGAGTAAAATTTTTTATTTTTGAGCTGAATTTGGGATTACTCTGGGACTTGATTGTGTCTTTAAACATGATTTAGAACTCATAGGATATTTAGAGAGGAGAACTTTGCTTTTGAAACTTGGTCTGACTGTTGTGAGAACCCTAGACGATAAGACTTAGGACTTAGCGAGCGGAAACCATAACTTGAAATTGACCGTCATTGCACTCATGAATCTTGGTTTAAATTGTCTACACTTTGAATTCTCAAATCGGGTTTTCAAAACTTATCCTCTTTTGATAAGTGTTTGTGAGAGCAATTGTCGAAGCAAAAGTTTAGGATAGCTTCCGAACACTAGAACTTTCTTCTACGTTCCCTTGAGGCGAAATCCTAGGTGAGTCTCGACTTTGGAAATGATCTAGGCATTCTTTGGCCGATTCATTAATCCCTTTTACGTTTTCCCACCTTGACGTCACCGTTCTTTTTACCCCTTCTAGCCTACGAAGCATGCTAAATGCGTGCTTCTAAACTCTTTTCATAACCCCCAATATAACCATATAACCCAAAAAGCTCTTTGCCTACCACCTTTGAACAAGGAAATAATTTTTTTTTAATCGTTATTGAGCATGCATTTTTAAGTTTCAAGTTTTGGCGTGAATGCACTTTTGTTTCGTGTTTATGTTTGTGTTTTGGAATAAATAATCATAGCGACTTATATGTAATTAGTCATTGTGATGTCGAAAAAGAGAAAAAAATTTCAAAAAAAAAAAAAGAAGAAAAAAAAGAGAAAAATAGAGAAGGCTGCAATGTTATGTTTTGTTTTGTGAAGTTGCATTTGTTGCCATCTAAACATTAAAGTTAATAACATGCATTGCTCTTTGAACCTAATGTGAAAGACTTATTTTCTTGTTATTCTCTAGCCTTACATTATCCTTTTCTTTTGTAACCATTACCCTAGCCTAACCCATACATAAGACCTAATGATACTTAGTTGAGACTTGTCAGACTTGTCCTACATTAGTGGAGAGGGAACCGCAAGGAGAGCTTATGGTTGTTCATTATCTTGTTTTCTTGAAGCTATGAAAATGTATTTTATATGCCTTGATTATTGCTCGACAAAACATTTGTTGATTCAAGCTTCATATGTGTGCGTGAGTGTTTTAAGAATTCTTAGTGTAACCTTTTTCGATTGAGTTCACGATGATGGGATGATTTTGACGGTTTGGTATCCAATTGCGATGTTGCGTTGTTTGAGGTTTTTGTATATGTTGAATCGAGTTTCGTTGTGAAGTTGTGGTCTCCTATATAGATTAGATTTCGAATTCTAAGTCATGCTTGAGGACAAGCATGGGATAAGTGTGGGGAAATTTGATAACTTGTAAATCCAATTTTCTTTTATTGTTATATTTGTGTTGATTTGGTGTCATTTTGTGCTTAAAAGAGTGGTTTAACTTGATTTATTGTTTTTATGCTAGGAAAAGTTGGAGTTGGATTTGATATAGAATGACGCAACAGGAGCAACATTTTGAAATGTTTGGAGCAAGAAGGAGCTGCTGGAATTTTGGAACACAAAATGCAAGTTGTTAGGTTCTTAGCCGTTGGGCAAGACTAAGCAGGAAATCAGACCAGCGGGACTGATTGTGACATTATTGGCTTGGTCACGACTTCTTCAACTAATTCCAGCACGTTTTTTTAACCACACAGGATGATATTAGACACAGGTTTTAGTGGGTATTTTTTATGTATTAGTGGGACCCCACCTTCTAGGGGCTATTTAAGTCGAAATTAGGTCTTTTTGTGGATTATCATTCCGCCTCCCTTGGGTTGTGAACGAATTTTGACAGAAATTTTTGAGAGATTTTACCGAACTTTCATATTCCTTGTGAGATGTTTTTCTTCCATATGTCATGTGGTTGGCTAACGTTCTGTTCAGTTAAGGTAAACCAAGGTAGAAGTTTGATTTCGATTGTGAAGATTATATTGAACTTATTAAATTTCTTTATTTCTATTGCATTTATATTCTTTCTGTGATTTATTGGGAAATATAATCCCCTAGCGAATTCTATGTGAATGTTTAACAGGGCCCGTTATGTTTGTTTGGTAGAAATTTCCAATACTATTCGCCGTAAAATCAATCGTTAATTGTTTTGTTTAGGTTGATGCAGTAGTAATTAATATAATTTTATTGGGTAGAACTTTCTAGGTTGTATTAAGAAAGAATATAATCAGATTTTAAAATGGAATGCTCCGTAGTTTCTGTTAATCTGGACAGGGTTTCTAATTAGATTTTAAAGCGGTTAACAGTTAATCTTCGTTCGTACTTTAGGATTGCTAGTTGATTAGGGGTTGTTATTAGATCGTATCTTACGCAACCTATTCCTACGGTAGAATGGTTGGGTTGAGTTCTTCTGGCTTATAACTTGTCCTGTAATATGAATTAAGGAATTAATCTTGAATCAATGATCACTCGAATCAAATTTTCGATCCGGGTATGACCTTGGCTGAATTTTTCTATCAATTGTTTCAGGTTCAATTTTTAATTTTATGCATTTATTCTTTGATTTAATTTTAAATTCGTTTCAGTTCGTTATTAAATTCCACCGTTTCAATATCTATTTTCTATTTTTAATTTTATTTTCAGTTTTGGTCTATTTTCGACAAAGCTAATCCCTAGGGTTCGATCCTTCTCACCATATTTACAAGTTTTATTTTGTAGGGGAGCAGGTTAATTATTTTTGGCGGATTCGACGCCCGTCAATTAAAATAACTTTCCCTGCATAAAATAAAGTTATAGGGCCTAAAGTTCCACCTTCTGCTACTTTAATAAATCTTTCATGTTCTAATCCAGGTGTTTTGGCAAATCAATGAAAAGTGACTTTATTCCTCTCACTTTACTTCAGTTGCAGAAACAGATTGCTTTAAAATTTAGCGTTTCAACACTACAAAGTAGTGAAAGTGATCTCCTTCACTAGCAAAAAGTGAATATCCTCATAGAATCACAAAGTAAAAAGCATGAAAAAAAAAAGGTCCAAGAATCACCAAGAACAATACAACAGATGGTCCCATTCTATTCTTAAGCAACTCAATATGGGACAATGACCCACAAATATCGACCTATTAGTCCACCGTCCATGGCCCCCTAATACAGTCACCATTATAGGATTTCAGTGGCCCCTATAATTAACCAAATTGAAAAATACTGCCAACCCAAAAAAAATAGGAGTTGTATGGACATGGGCCTTAAATTAGGTAGAGCAATTAGTAAACAATGACATAAAGAAAAGGACTTGCCTGATCTATAGTGAAATCCAGTAAGTACCGGAGCTGATTCCGGCCAAAATGTTTTCCGGTGGCCAAAGAATAGGCTAGATCATATGCTTGCAGTCCTGAGTACACAAAACCCATAACATTTATTGACATACAGTACCTGCAACAAGCACATAACAAATATTTTTCCCGTCAATAAAACAGCAGAAGTTCAAGAAATTAAAATTAAAGGGTCAATTGAAAAAGAACGGACCTGAATTCCTTGTACCTATAGAAAGAATCAAAAGCCCAACCTTGATTCTTATCAGCAGCCATGACTGAAAACGAAACCAAGCAAAAGACTAATCCTAAGAATCTAAAGCCTAACAAGGCCTTGTTCTTCATATTCTCCTTCTCTCTCTCTGAAATTGAAGGCTTTCTCCTGCTACTACCACCACCACGGCCGCCTGGAATACCTACTTCAACTGGTTTCTGAACAGCATCTTCGTCTTGGGTTTTAGAAACCGGCATGCGAGGTGGTTCCGGTGATGGAGATGGAGACTTAGCTGGTGATGATGATGAGAAAACATAGGTTTGAGACGTTTGATCTGGCGGGGGAAATTGGTACTTGGCTTCTTTAAGCTGCGGCGGAGACAACACATAGTCATAGTCGTGAGAGGTATGATGACCTGAGGAGTCTGGTGATGGAGGTTTAGAAGGAGGAGGTTTTGGAGGTGGAGAAGAAGAGTGCATTGAGACTGGTGGTGAAGTTGAAACGGTGTCGTTTTCTCCTTCTTCTTGTTCTAATTCTTCTTCTTTTCTCTCTTCTTCTTCTTCTTGTTCAAGTAGTTCTTGCAAATGGTGTGGTTGTTTTGGATGTTCTTCTTCTTGTGGTGGTTGTTTTTGGTCATTTTCATGGTCATAGTGCTGCTGTACCTGTCCCTGTCCCTGTCCTCGGTCGTTTTCATGGCTTTTCATGGTTGCTTGCTGGCTTAGTTTCTTTGGCCTATGGTTTTACAGTTTGAGAGAGTGATAAAATAGCCGAGACAGAGAGAGAGAGAGAGAGAGAGAGGAAAAGTTGAAGGAAATTGCAAGTGAGAGTTTTGTATGGAACCTTGAAATGTTTTTACTGGAAAATTTGTCTTTGTTGACAGTAATTTAAAGTTTTTTTATTTTTATGCTGTATTGTTGACAGTAATATTTTCATTTCATTTTTTATATTAACATTTAATATTTTTGTCCAATACATATATAAGAAAAATTAATAAAAACATTGACAGTGATATCATTTTGAATAATTGTTTTTTAATTGAATTTTTGACCTACCCGTCAAATGTCATCCTTTCATCTTCGCATGATAAAATTTCGTGTGCGAATACACACTTTCGCTTTTGATTTAAATGGGATAACTGTAAAGAAAAATTAAGATAAATGATCTTATGATGTGTATTTCCATGATCAGTTACATATGAATATATTTCATTTGTATAAAGAATAAAGGCACTTCACATAATAAAAAAAAAAAAAAAAAAAGAAGAAGAAGAATAAAAAAAAAAAAAAAAGAAAGAAGAAGAAGTAAAGGCTTTTAAGACTTTCTTTTCACTTATAAAAAAAAAAAAAAAAAAGAAGAAGAAGAAGAATAAAGGCTTTTAAGACTTCTTTTCACTTATAAGAGCGATACGTCTCAGGTTTAAAATCTTTCAATCTTTGACTTTTATTGTGTAATTCGTAATATAATTTTCAGCCCATTTTTTCTTGATGAATAAAAAAAAAAAGGCACCAAATTTTTGAAAAACAATTTATAGGTTATGATAGTTGCAATATTGTTCCAAAAAAAACAATTTATTTTTGAAAAATATGTTCAATTATTTCATTTTTCATTGTTTAATTACAATATTAGAAATTAATTTAAAATATTAATTTTTTTTAATTTATAAATCAAGAACAATATTTAAAAATATGATAAAGTTATTGCTTAATATGAAAAGAAAAATTGTAGATTATATGGCATTCACCAGCAATTACCACCTGGCTACAGGCGATTGGCAATATTAATAAACGCCTGTATAGTGTTATGATAAATTTTTTCTGTCCGAAAATATTTCTCTCTTTGAAAATAAAAAGTCAAAGAAAAATGGTTTAATTTTTTCTGATTCCGAAAAATATTTTACGTAGACTTATTAATTCTAGTAGTAATTGACCTGATGAATTGTATATAGAAACAGCAGAAACTAACATTGATCAGAAGTCAAATTAGACAATGGACCTAATGCTGCACAATACAAAATATGAAAATACTACAATTAAGATATAGTACTTCAAAGCTAGCGCTCTTCTACAATCTATGAGAAGAACAAAATTTTCAAAGTACTGTTGCATCCTGACCTGAGTTCAGATTAATATTGCTAAGAAGAAAAGAAATCACGAGCTTCATGGTATTGCTTTAGGACCACATTGTATAGCGGATGAACAGGTTCCAAGAGATTAGAGTAAGGACCTAACACCGCCCTTGTTGGAGGCGGAGAATGCTCGTCTTTCGACCAACTATACTGACACACCGAGAGGCCACTTAGACAATAACATGTGTGATAAAAGTCCCTAGCCTTACCAGGTTTGTCTCTAAATCCACCATCTTGTTCCTGCAGTGACAACCACAAATTTTTCTAAATCAACTGGTTACTCAAATATCAGGGAACCAAGCCACTTCATCCAATGCTATTTCTGCTAATTTAAATATTTGAACTAAAAGTAGTCAAAAAGAGTTGAAAGAGCACTTGATTTTATAGAATTCATTTACACCAAAAAAGCTTTTAACTTTATTTTTCTTCTAATGGGGGAAATTAGCGCCAGTTAACATGTGAAAGAATAAGTGTACGCAAACAAGCAATTGAATGTGCTTTTTGTTCCCTCTTCTTCATTCAGTTATTATTTTCTCTTCTCTTTTCATTGTTATTATATGGAACTATAGGGATGAGAGTGGGGCCAAAATTTTAGGATATCAACTTGCTTTGACTCATTTATTGTGGATTTAGATAATTATAAACATCTATGAGACAAGTAGAAGTAATAAAATTACTGCTCGTGACAAGTTTAAGTAGGGCATAGATTTAGGGTATCTGGGCACCTGCTAAGCCCCTACCTGTTACCCACTATATTAACCTAGCTTGGTTGCCTGTACCCATAGCTACCCCACCCGCATCTACCCAGTTACGTATTATTTGGAAATGTCAATGACACTTGATCATTAAATGGGTCCGAGGAAAGAATACGAGTAGCAAAATTATTAATGGGTATGAATACAGGCAGTTAAATGGATTTAAACAGCTTTCAGGTGCAGATGGTAAAATTCTAAACAGATTCGGGTGCAAGTAGTTCACATTTTGTTAGATAGAACTAAATCTCCAATTTATACCTGTGAGCACAGAAGTATGTACTGCTGCAAGGCCATACTGTGAAAAGGAGGTACCATTTCTCCATGATCTACTGGAAAGGCATCACAGACAATGTTAAAATGAGAAGATGAGAGAATTCATGCGATAAGTAACAGATCTACAAAGTAGGTCATTGATTAAAAATAGAATCTCTATAATAGAAGAAGTTGGGAATAAAGACACTTTCTTTACTGTTTCTAAATGAACTTACCTCCCTGCTTAAAATGGTCAGGTTCATCAGCCTCAGATGAATTTCCATTTGTAACTTCTCCTTCAGAAGTGCTATCTGTAGCATAATCTCCTGCTTCAGCATCAGAAAATGCCACGCCTTCACCGCTAACTGACCGTAATCTTTGTAATATTGCAAAAACACCTCCCTGATAAATTCTCTTTGTTAATATAATATAAGATGAAAAAAAAAAATATGGTAATTAAAAAAAAAGATATAATATCACCTGCCAGAAGGAGTAACAACCGTCGACCAATTTGTTTGTTCTCCCCTGAAAGCCACACTCCACTCCTTGTCGAAATACCACCCAATCCTAATACAACATCCAACAATCAAAACACTAGCCCAAGACACCTCATGAAAATCATTATATATATAGTTAGATTCAAGGATATGTCCGACAAATAAAACCACAACAAATGTAATTTACACAAAAATGCTATGAATTGTCAATAAAAGAGGAAATATTATCTTACAATTAAACGAGCCATGTCCAGCCGATTGACCTCATTGATCAGAACCATTGCAGCCAATCCACAAAATGTGTACCTAATGATGAAATCATTAAATCTGTGAGAGGCTTTGCTGGGCAAGTGGGACAAAAAGCAGAGGATGACTCATCCATGAGAGCAAGGAAGTAGCAAAGATATTCTCAAATAAAAGAAATAGCCACTTAGTGAGAGATGAAAGGAGACAAGTATGCAAAAACATACCCACCATGAGCTTCAGAACCAGGTTCTCCAGCAATGCCACCTTCATAGGTCTGACAACTACAGTAGGATGTCAGAGAGAAGTACTTTTAGTTGACTGCATACTACTCGATGTATATCAAAGCAAAATGTAACGTCTTAATGATAAATTAATCTGAATGCAAAGAACTGTTCTCATTAAGGTTGTTGCGCTTTTTCTAATCCATTTAATAAAACAAAAAATAAAGCAACTTTAACAGGCTAACGGACTGGAGCGTAAATCTCATATGAATATCTGCAAAACACAGTCAATTACTCATTTGCCATAGTTATACAGGGCAAGAGACAAGCATCAGAAAACAACACAGATCCAAGCTGCCAATTAATAGCATGACAACGGAAGATTATTGGGCCTGATTCTTCCTTCCTCTGTACGATAGTAGCACCTCACACAAATCAATTCCTACTTGCAGATGATTCAACAAGAGTGTTATGATCCTAATGGCAATACAAGGTATAGGATTTGACTTTGATCCCACATTGAAAATATGGAATTTCAATATGGAGTTTATATGAATTTGGGTCTATGCTAATCTCAATTGCTAGCTTTTAAGCTATGGTTCTCCCAAGGTCACATCAATTGGTATCATAACAACATCATATCTTCCTTCTAAACCACCTATCCATGGTCATGTCCCTTTCAAATCAGTAGAAATTTTCTTTATAGTTTTATATTCTATTTTGTTCCCCTTATGCACATTGAGCTTTCAACAGATCAGCCAACATTATATGGTCATATAGCACTAGCCCATACCACAAATGACTAAAATATGCTAGATAAGTTACAGATGGTAAGTAAACACAGCCATTGGCAAAAGATGCAGGCAATTTTTCAGAATGGTTCCAGAGAACTAGTTAATTCATCTTGTATATATAAAGAAAACAAAAGTCATCCCTCGTTAAGTTCATGCCTGGATATTCTAACTCACACATCTACCCATGTGGACCAACACGGGCCAAATTAGCTCTCAGGGACTCGTGATGGAACCTTCGGCTAATCTTCTTACAGCAGGACCAAGCAAAAAATGTGGAATGAATCCTAAATCTGGCCGTGTCATTTAGCATCCTTTGCTTCCAAAATTAAAATGTGAAAGGTAAAAATAAAGCAGGGAAGAAGACAGACGAACCAGAAACCAGTAACAAAAACGGAGACGTTGAGTAGGCTTGATTTTTAAGCAACTTAACAAGAGAGAAATTCATGAATAAAGGAGAGTAACTTCAGACAGGAAAACATTGGGCAAGAAGAATAACAAAGAAACCCAACTGGTAAGAGCCATAAGCTCTCGAATTCTAAATAATGACCATATTAAGAAAACCCAATGGTGAAATGTAGTTACAGACTCTAGTAAGCAAACATAAAATTATTTCAGATGAGATTCCACGGGTGTTAGGCTTGCACGTTTCTATCAACTCAAGCATAAGCTCTAAGTATGTGGGTATTGTTAATTCAAAATCATTACCTAGGATAGAAGCTATGCTATCCTTAAAAATAAAACGCTCGATCCTATACATGAGGTCTATGATTCCAAATATTGAGCATTATGTAGCATATATACCTAATAATAATGGTGAATCACCATGATAGCAACATACTAACACCGCTGATACCATAATTTTTCTGAACAAATTCACAATAGCACTGACCATAAGCATTACACTTTGATTGTGAACACACTGACACACCTAAACCACACTATGACTGCAACTGTTATTAAAAATCATAATGGGACTTACACCAAATTGCACCTATTTGCAGTATTCTTCAATACTAGGCAATAATTTCCAATTGCAAATGCATGTCTGAAAGGTTACATTACCAATAATAAGATGCTTTTTGTGGATTATAAGCCAGGTACATTTGCATCAAAAGAGTCATTCTAGAACACAATCCAAATTAACCTAAACGAATATATGAATGAAAGAGAACGAAAAACAGTTACAGTTCCACAATAATAATAATAATAGCCAATAAAAACCAACCTTATGATGTAATTACCAACATCCTTAACCAGCTCATCATCCAAAATGTTGAGAATACTTGCAACCTGGTTGGGAAAAAAGGATAGGTACATTGGGAAGTTAAGCAACACCATAGAAGCAAAAATAAGATCAGAAAATGAAAGAGATTAGCAGTAAAAAAAGCTTCTAAAAGAAGAATAAAACATGTAGAAGACCTAAGTGTGCTCAATGTCTACTCTTAACTATTGCGCAACCTAGACATGTCCAATGTCTACTCTAGCTGCTGGGCAATTGTAATTTCCTTGCCTCTAGCGAATTTAAAAGTAACTCAAAACTAAATAGTAACATTGGTCCAGGATTCATTCCTCAAGCAAGATAATCAAGAGACATTTTGCAGCATCAAAAAGAAGAAAAAAAGTCAATTAATTACAAGCATCAACAGGTTTGACTGCTGACAAAATTCAGAGGATAGTGGAAGAACAAATGGAATTGCATCAGCTTTGTGGCATTACCTTCTACGGTTTTCCTTTTCCTTTTTTTTTTTTATTGCCATCTTACCTGATCCTATGCAGCTTCAATCTTTTGCACTTTACACATAGACAAAAAGAGTGATAAATCAACCTTGTTTTTGAAAAGTAATCACATGGTTGGGTTTAAGTTCCTACTATACCTTAGATGTTGAACAAGTACTTTAACTCCTAATAAATTCATATGATATTCAGGCCATCAGAATGTGTTCAGATGAAGTATTGAGATATTTTGAGAGTGTTGTTCTTGTAAGAACCACTGTACCACATATATACACGATGCATTCCTATAAAGAACTAACTGTAGCTGACTTACTGAAATGGCTGTGTAACAAGCCCGCACGTCCATTTCCCCACCATCATGCATCCTACAGTTATAAAAATAAGTGAGATTCAGAACTAATCTTAAAAATTCATTGGACAAAGATTTCCATGTGAAAATGAATAACTGTAGAACTGCCACGTTGACAAATCAAAACATTTTAAGTAAAGTGAATAGAAATTCAGATTCATAGAAAACAATAATGTATTACGAGTAAAATTGAAAAGATACATAAATATTAATAGACCATTTGACACTGCAGAATTTCTGATGCAATGTCATCCTCCTAAACGCGAAAAAAATTTACACAAAGCGTATGCAATTGCGATGCTCATGCAATGTCAATTTTCCAGTTGAAACTGCAGAAAGAAAGATGAAATCACACCTGAATGCACCACTTGGGTCTTTTACTTTCCGCAAAAATGTGTACAATTTCTCTCTGAAACATTCATTGAAATCAATCACAAAAGGCATAAATTATATTGAGCAAAAAAGCAATTATTCTTTGAAAGCAGCAACAACTGACCACCTATTAATAGACGATAAGGCTCTACGCCCACCCAAAGTAATAAGTGAATTAACTGCAGCATAAGTTGTTGCAAGATGAGGCATCTGACACAGAAAATATAAGTTAATCTTGACAGAATGTCAAATTGACAACCACTAATTTCAATGGAAAAATGGTTAATTCACAAAGAAAATAGGATATCCAGAAATTCGTTAGATCAGCACAACACGAGAAAAACACTAGAGCCCTCACGACACAACAAATGATTATGGTGAACTTATATTAGTTCAAGGAGGCCGCAAAGGAATATAGCCAAGACATGAAGATACATCAAGAAATTAACAGTGCGTCCCTCAAAATGCAACATAAATAAGACCAGTTCCTAAATAATCCAACAAGATTTACAGTTGGGCTTCTTGGGAAGCATAAAAAAACAAAAATTGTAAAGAAAGTCAAGTACAAGGGAACTAACTATTTATTTTATTAGTTTGCATAGAGCTAATTGGTATCTCACATTAATTTTTTAAAGGCAGAGACAGATTGAAGAAGAGGAACAGAGCATGTTTCATAGGTCAAGTTTGAGTCAGTTTAGTTCACATAAAACTAACGCAAAATAATGGAAATATAAAAAAGAAATAAATTTATTAGAACATGTGAGCCATCTTGCCAAAAGATAAAACGCTTGCCTGTCCAGGTCCACCACCATATCCACCGTCTGGATCCTGTCAATACAAGAAATCACAAATCACCAAGAAGAAAAAAAAAAAAAAAAATAATTTTTTAAAGGCAGAGACAGATTGAAGAAGAGGTGTTATAGGTCAAGTTTTTGAGTCAGTTTAGTTCACATAAAACCTAACGCAAAATAATGAAATATAAAAAAGAAATATTTATTAGCTGTGGCATCTTGCCAAAGATAAACGCTTGCTGTCCAGGTCCACCACCATAATCCACCGTCTGGATTCCTGTCCATCAGAGAAATCACAAATCACCAAAGAAAGAAAAAAAAAAAAAAAAAAGCATCTTTAGCTCAACCATGAATTCAAACCTTAAGGAACAAATAACTGTAAGTCAAAAAAAAAAAAAAAAAAAAAAGCATCTTAGCTCAACCATGACTCAACCTTAAGAACAATAACTGTAAGTCAAAAAATTGAAAAAAAAAAAAATAATCCGATATTATCATTTCTTTCAACTGAATCAAAAAGCTACAGCCCATGAAAAGATAAAAGGCCAGGCCAAATGTGTAAGCAATTATTTTTGCTGTTCTTCAAATTTTATATCAGTCATATGAGTATGAAAATGCAGACATATATAACATAGGATTATACTGATTTGTAACATTTGCAAACATAACTAAAAGTTCATCCAGGTATTTAATAAAGTTAATTGCTGTAACCAAATAATTCCAACATCTAAATTTCCAGAATTTTGATGATAAGCAATAACATCAAGTAAAATAAGTTTCAATGCAAATTTATTTAAGCCTCACACCTGACATCGATTAAGAAAGTCAATGGCATTATTTTCCAGTTCAAAATCAACTGACTCCCCCAGTAAAGCAATCGAATGCAGGATCCAGTAGCAAAGCCAAGGTCGACTGCACAAAGCAACAATGCGTGCCAATAAATGAGAAAGAGAATCAAATTGGGTATATGAATAATTTTAAGGCATACCAGGTAAACTAATGCATAAAGTCTGATTATGCAGTCAGTGACAAAAACTAATTTCCATAATTAAACCCTCCTCAATGAAACTAGCTAATAAGAGTAGCAGACAGATCACTTTGAATAGTTTGTAATTATAACTAGATATTGAATAGTTTCCAACCATATTTATAACTAAAAATTTTCAAATTTCAAGTTCGATCAGATAGAAAAACTAGAAATTGAAGGAAATAAAGAGATTCACCTGGAATCCAATACAACGAAGGAGGGGCTGAGTTGCTGGAGTCCTCTGGTTAGATAATCTATATGCTTATCACGTACAAGCTCAAGCCTATAAACCGAAATAAACTTCAGTTAATTGAGAAAATCAACTTAGAAGTGAAAAATGAAATTGCAACTTAATGATAATTTTGTTAGTTTACATTAGGGTTTGGGCGCTATGAGGAATCGTAGCGAAGATATCGTAGATTTGGAACACCTGATCTTGAACCATCCATTGCTCGTGCTGACTTACTGTCGGTCGACGCCGAGTCGACGATCCCACTGAGTCCATTCTTTCAGATATCTTCCGATTTTTGGAAACTTGGCTTGTTTTGACTACAAGTCAATCACAGCGCAGAGTCAATTCGCTTTCCCTTTGTCATTTAGGTAAACAGACGGCAGCACGTCAGATTTTCCCGGTGCGGTACTCGATCCCATGAGTTTTTATTGGAAGCCCATGAATTTGGCTACGGTCACTAAAAATGTCAAATTTAACTTTTTCAGTAACTTTAATCTTTGAAGTTGTTTAGAACGGTTAAAAGTAAATATTTAAACTTTTGATCCAATTTAACTCTTATTCTTAGTTGGTTGTAATGTTTAACATTTTCATACACCTCGAAAAAACTCTTATAAAAAAAATGTTAATTAATTGATATTGATGAGTTTTGATTTGATCAAACCGCTGAAAATTAGTTCAAAAACTTTAAGTATCAAACACTTTAACATTTCAAATAATTATATACTGTTTAATGGATATTATCTTTAACATTATATGCACTTTGACATTATCTTTCCCTCGAATTCATTATCTTTCCCATAGAATTCACTAATTAAAATCGTTCTATAAATAATTATTAGTTAGAAGTTATACCCGTGATCCTTTCCCTGAATTCACTCGTTAAAACCGTTTTATGAACAACTACTAGTTAGAAACTAATGGTTAAAGTTAATATTATGAAACAGTAGCATTTAAGGGCCTAAAATAACTAATGCAGCCAAACACACCGTTAATAACAATCGAATGACATTTAATTAATTTTGAATATTTTAAATATCAATCATAAATTTTTAAGTGAGTTCGGATTTGAAGTTTAAAATTAATGGACCAAAATAATATTTATTACAATTGTTCTATAATATTTGTCACGTTCAGAATTTCACATTCCTTAAGAAAATTATTAAATTTATCTAAGTTATAATAAATTATTGGATAAATTGACTAATTACCCTTAATTTAATACTAACTCTTTAAGAAACCATTAAATTAAAGTAATAATTATTTGTCTTATACAAAGGGTAAATATAAAAAAAATGAATTTTTTTATTTTTTAAAACCACAAATATGACATGTATTTTTAAATATTCTCAAATGTGACAAGTATTAAAAGACGGAAATAGTATCAAATTGGCGATAACTTCTATGGTAGATAATACTAACTGGGTTACACCTGATTGAGACTTAAATATATTAAATTAAATCTTAAAATTCCAAAGTTTTTAATCAAATTGAACTCTAATACAACATTTTATCTCATATGATCATAACTTTGCTCAATCCAATAGACATAAACATCATAATTGGGAAACCAAAAAATAAAGAAAACGGAATAAAATATGCACGACCAAAAATCAATAATGGAGAATGGTGGCCGACCAACGGTGGCGACAAGGGGAGGTTTATCATGTACTTAGAGAATAGCAAATTGAAATTCGCCACATCACATGCTAGCGGCCATGATTGAAACAGGTAGCCGAAAAGACTCTTATATTGTCTTCGTTTTACCCTCCAAGTCCAAGCGGCGGAGAGTGGAACCAGAATTATTTAACTGTGTTAATATAAGGGTGTGTTCGGCTTAGCATACTCGCACAGCTGATAGCTGTTTGGTACCTAACACCTAAATTTAAGTGTTTGTGTTTGACAATCCTTTTTTAATCAACAACTAATAACTAATAGAAATAACAATTAGCTACTGTTTCTATATACTACAGTTAGGATTTTTTTTTATTAGCTGATAGTTGATTCGTATTTATATTATTTTAAATTTTATTAATTTTATAAAAAAATAATTATTAATAATTTTTTTGTTGATTCGTATTTATATTATTTTAAATTTTAATTAATTTTATAAAAAATATTATTAATAATTTTTTTTAAATTAGTAATTTTTATGATAATTTTTAATTTATAATTATTTTAAAAATATTATTAAATATTAATTTTAATAAATTTTAATTAATATTTTATTTATATAATACATTAAAATAAAAAATAATATATTCACCTTCAATTAGAAATAATATATATTACACATCATCATATATAAAATAATTAAAATAAAAAAATAATATATTCACCTTCAATTAGAAATATATATATTACACATCATCATATATAAAATAAGTATGCTATAATAATTATTTTATTTTTTAACAACAACAGCTACAAAAATTTTATCAAACATAAACAATAATCAAATAACCGCTATCAGTCGTTAGTCACCAACTATCATCTATCACCCGGTATGAACCGCTAAACCAAATGGACCCTAAATAATAAGCCGTCTTTGCTTAAGCTAACTTCTACTCCTTTTAATCTTACCCTATATCTATAGTATAGTCTATAATCTAACAATAATTGCTCAACTTATAATATCGATGTTTAAAATTTTTAATTCAATTTAAATAATTATTTTTTTTAATATTAGAATTCTTAATTGAGTTAAAAATATTTTCAATTGGATTTAATCTATAAAATTATTTCAAGCTTTATGACTTATTACAATAACATCTAAATTAACATTCGCTTCTACCACCCTAACATACAAATTTAGATATATTATCACCATAAATTTAAAATCAAATAGGATGTATAATATAATAATATAAAAATAAGTCTCACCAAACGAGCTTGGGTTCACTTAATTCAAATCCCCAAAAATTAGAATTTTAGGAAAATAGGAATTAATGCCGGTTGATGGAATTATTAATTAAAGCAATAATACTGATTTCTTTGGATGACTATTGTTGCTTGCCTTATTTATTTATTTTTATTTATTATAATGTTGCTTGCCCATTTCTCCTCTTTTATTGCACTATTGCTTGCATTTTTTAGTATTTTACTGTAGATGTTACTTGCTATTTTGCTTGTTGAGTAGTGACAATAATTATTATTATTTAGGTTAATTTTATATAAATTGCCCAAAAAAAACATTAATATTCGATGGCTACAAAGCTAAACAGAATTAACTCAATTTTTTGATTTTTGGACACTTATTCTTAATTTGATCCCTAATATAAAATATTTGTTTATAATTTAATTTAATATTATTTCGCACATTAAGGCATAGACTAGTGGTTGGTGCATTTACTATCGTTTTTGACCTAAAAATAAAATATTACATAAGTACGCATAAAAAATAATAATGTTGTACTAATCGAGAAGTTTTAAACTAATTAAAATTCTTAATTAAAAGTATTAATTAAGATGTATTACATAAATATTTCAATTAATGTAGTAGCCAAATATGTTGGTAAAATAAGTTCTTAATTCTTAATAAAATTTAAAAAATCAATATTTTATTCTCAAAAGTTTAATTATTTAAATAAAATTTTAAAATTATTGTGATACTCATAATTTACTATGGTTATCTATTAACTTATAGTTTCAAACCAGATATTAAAATTTTAAATGTTGTAGCTTTTATAAAATTTTGTTATTCAATTCGTAAAAGTTATTTCGAGAAATCTGATGTCTAGTTTATTGGATTTTTCCATTTAGCATTTATCTTCAAAATATAACTGGAATTCTTAATTTTATGTTAAAATTAATTATAAAATTCTATAACTTAAATTTATAAATTTTTTGATAAATTTGTTCTAATATATCTATATAAATGTAAAAGAGCTAAATAATATAAAAGCCGAATAATGTTTTATGATGTGACATAATATTAAGAAATGTAGTTATTTACGTGACTCTTTTTATTATTTTTTAAATTTTCACAAATTTTTTATTTGGTTATTTAATTTGAAAAAACTAAATTATAGAACTATTCTATTTTTTTGTCTTCAAAAAAAAAAAAAAAAAAAACTATTCTATTTTTTTGTCTTCAAAAAAAAAAAAAAAAACCTATTCAATTTTTTTCAAAACAATTAATAGTCAATAACAACTGATTAATAAGTATATTGTATTAATGAAAAAATCTTTGATTTATTTTTCAAAATAATTAAAAAGCCAAACAATAGTTTTTATTGTATTAATGACAAATATAATTTGATCTATTATTTATTCAATTTAACTAATATATATATATAATATATATATATATTCTCATTTAACACTCAAACAATACTATTTAAAAAAGTAAATACTATTTAATTTTTTTTTTTACTATTTAAAAAAAAGTAATACTATTTAAATTTTTTTTTTTTAAATTATATATTACGCGCAAGGCAGGGGCATTTGAGTAGTTATTTATAACTTTCAAGATTTTTAAGTTCTGAACCATTTAAAAAATTATTTTTTAATATTTAAAATTATATATTTGTAGTTTCCAAATTTGTTTTGTGTAGTGAATTTAGATTTCAATTAGTGTTAATTAGATTTTGATTCTAGTTCATGTTTTTAGATTATATTAGTTATAAATTTTCATATTTTTGGATATTATAAAAATAATATAAAAAATATTTTTGATATTAAATTAAGATAAAAAACTATTCAAATCTGGAAAGAACAAAAAGAAAAAGATTACAAAAAAATAAAAAAATAGTCTATAAATTGAAAAATAAAAAAAATACTATTATTTAAACAATAGATTTGTAACCTGTTAACCTATTATAACAAGTATAGAATTTACTTACTTCACTGTTATAGTATTATATATTTTTTATACGATTTGGATTTAAATAAAAAATTAATATAAAAATTTAAATTTAAATTTTATTTATTAACTAATAATTAAAAATTCATAATAAGATTATAATTATTAATAGGATTGGATTTAATTAGAAAACCGAATAGCCAATCAAAATGATAATTAAAGAAAAGTGAAGTAATGTAAATAGTTTTAGGTTAGCGATTTTATTAGGCTATAATTACTTTTATGTGGGTTCATAAAGCGAGAAAAATAAGTTATATGTGTTAATCAAGTTAAATCTAGCGGAATTAAAATTATATACTTTTAATTAGCTAAAGATATTTTAGAATTTTTGATTAAAATCTTCTAATTGATCCATTCTAAGAATATTTTAATATTTCTCAAATTTCACTAAAACTATTTTTGATAAATCTCATAATTTATCCTCGTTACTACATTTATATGAGCACATGTATGTGTATATATATATGTATAGACAGAAATAATTAATAATAGACTATAGATTATAAATAAAGATATTTAAAAATTATTAAAGATTAGTGGAGATATTATATTATAGGGTAAATTATTATTTAGTCCCTCAGGTTTTACATAATTAACTAACTAATCACAGGTTTTGAGAAAATATCTAGCTAGTCCATCAGGTTTAACTCCGTCTAATTAAAAGGTCCTTCCGTCCGAAAAGTTGGTTTTTTTTCGTTAATTATAGAGTAAAAAACTAAAATACCCCTCTCCAGCTGACGTGGACCATAAGGGAAAATTATTATCTAGTCCCTCAGATTTTACATAATTATCTAACTAATCCCAAATTTTGCGCAAATATCTAATTAGTCCCTCACAAATATCTAATTAGTCCTCAGGTTTTAACTCCGTCTAATTGAAAAGGTCCTTAACCGTCCGAAAAAGTTAGTTTTTTTTTCCGTTAATTGAAAGAACTAAAAAGACTAAACACTCTATCTCCTAGCTGACGTGGACCAGTAATGAAGTGATAAGGGAAGGAATTGTATAAAACTAAAAGAACCTAAATAATCCCTATAATTTTATGCACATGTAGAATTGTATAGACTAAGCTTAATTACACGAGTAGGAAAATTAGCTTCGCTAAATTTAAAAATGAAAATTGAACACAGATAACCTTACATTAAATATTAATATTCATATTCAAAGTTGTGAAATTATAATAATATAGGTGACAATAATAATTACTTTTTTATCTATAAATAACTATTGTTTTAGAGCCTGTGTTTTCTCTGCAAATATCTTTTTTTTTAGAATATTAATGAGTAATTAATTTTTTTTTCAATTTTACCCTTATTTATATTAAATTTAATAATTATTTTTATAATTTTTCAAAATCATATAACATCTCCTTACTTAAGGTTACGTAATAAAATTAATTAATATTTTGTTATAATTTATAAGAATAAATTTACTTACTTAATTACCATAAAAATATTAAAAGTATTTATGAATAGATGGAATACTTTGTTTTTTTTTTTAGATTTTATCAATGATAATAGAAATGTTTCTTGATAAAATTTGCATATTAAATATGAATAAAATAGAAAATATGTTTATTACTTTTTTTTCTAAAAAAGAAACTATGATGATAATTTGGGGTAAAAAGAAAAATGAAGTAATTACTTTTTTGAAGATGTATTTACTTTCATGATTCACTCAAATTTAATAATATTTAATTAGAACATCAAATTAATTTTTTTATCCTTTTTTTAATACTGTCTTTGTTTTATAATACTTGTCAGATTTGAGAAAATAGTTTGTTCTAAAATATTTGTCTAATTTAGTCTAAAATACTTGTTATATTTACGGTTTTAAGGAGTAATAAATATTTTTTTCATATTTACCCTTTGTGTATGATTAATAATTATTATTTCAATTTAATGATTTTCTTAGAGATTAATATTAAATTAAGAGTAATATTGTCAAAATTTATTCAATAATTTATTATAATTCAGACGGAAGGACCTTTTTAGATTAGACGGAGTTAAAACCTGAAGGGACTAGCTAGATATTTTCCTCAAACTTTGTGATTAGTTGGTTAATTATATAAAACCTGAAGGACTTAAATAATAATTTACCCTAATATTATATTTGAGGGACTAGCTAGATATTTTCTCAAAACTTGTGATTAGTTGGTTAATTATATAAAACCTGAGGGACTAAATAATAATTTACCCTATATTATATTATATTTAAATATTTTGCTATTAATGATCTTATTTTTCTTTACCAAATTGAAATACCATTGTTTATAGTTGAACTAATTCAACTTCAATTATTAAAGTCTTAAATGAATTATGTATGAAAATTTAGAATTCATTCACAACAAAGTTTCTAATTTAATCCAACAATCAATTGAATGTTTAACTGATTAGGAAAAAAAAAAAAAAACACAGCATTTGGTTGATTTGTTTTTATTCGGGAAAGCAAATTGGGATAATATGTAGTAATGAAAACGGAAGCTGTCAGACAGTAGGCCAAGAAAAGTTCGCCACGTCAAGAATTCTCAGTCTCACTCCCCTATTTAAATGCTAGCAACTAAAGATTTTATTCACAAGTTACGACGATTTCTTTCCTCCTCTTCTTCTTCGATTATAGCTGTGTTGCTCGAAAATGGCCATGAAACGTGCTGCTACTTCTGTGATTCGCGCTTTCACTTCCTCATCTGCAATTTCCGGCTCTTCAATTCTCGCTAGAGACCTCCATGTAAGTAAAGCCCTTTCTTTTTTTTTTTTAATCAAGTTTTTAAAATTTAATTCGATTATTATATTATATGCTAAATAAATTGAAAAACAACCATCCCAGAGGCCATAGATATCGGCTATGTTTAGCTCCCCGCTGTGAGTTCCTCGCCGATCAGGCGATTACAGTGGTGAAATAATTTCCTACGAGTCAACATCTAGATTGAGTCTCGCGTGCGTGTGTGAAACTGTGTGATGTATTTATCTTTTTTTTTATGTTGATGACGCCAAATCAAAGAAAAGCGTTAAATTAACGCGCGAGGTAACGCCTTGTGTGGTTGTGTACAAGTGGTGAGTGTGAGACATTTCCACATGAAAGAGTGTGCAGTGCACAAAAGCCATCTCCACGACTCCACTCCGTCTCCGACCCTCACCAAACCCTTTGTCCTGTGGGGTCTCAGAATGGACGGTATTCGCGAGTGCTAAAGTTTTCAGCTTATTTTTGGATTGTTGGATACGGAGCGTTTTTGGGGTCAACTTTCCACGTCAGCCATATTTATTGTTCTACCTCATCTTGTTGTGGATAGATATCAAGAAATAAAAAAATTGCCTAAAATCTTTAAAACAAGGCTCTTGTTAATCCTTTTTTTTTTTTAATTAAAAGGATATTTAGTGTACTACCCTTATTTGAATCAAATTTTTAACATAAAGGATCGATTAAATATCAATAAAAAAATAAACTTCCCTTATATTCCCTCTAATTCTTATATATAGACACAGTTTTTATTTTGAATGTTGTATTCGAATACACAAAGTTATTCAATTTGGAGTATAGTTGAATTGTATAGTCTAAATTGTCCTTTATTTGACTTGTTAACAACACCAAATTTTATAAAACAAGAAAGTAGAGATAAAATTTCCGCTTTCAGCATTGAGGCTTTAGACTTTGTGCTTTGTTTATTAATTGCACTATTTGGGTTTAAATCTTTTAATTGCGGCACACTTTTGTTATATGACTATATAATTTTCATGATTATATCATTATGTTTAAGTAAGGTAAAAAAATGTGTGCATAATGTATGTTCCATTAGTTAAGAAGAGGAAAGTTATTATGCATCTGGTTTAACATTATATGAGCACATTTTATCACAAACTACTCTATGTAAAATAATTAAAAGGGAGCATATGTTATAATTTCTATAAGTCAGACACTAAAATTGTCTAGTAAATTTTCAGAATGCAATTTCTACTAACGGCAGCACTTTGCTGCAAAAAAAATTGCACCATTTTTATGAAATTGTGCATACTTTTCTTTATGAAATGTAAATACTTTTAAAACGAAAATTAAATTTCATTTTCCATCAATTTTTTCAAAACAATGGGAGGGAAAAATTTAAACATTTGATTAAGCTGTTAAAATTAACCCACTTAGTGGGATTTCTATAATCCGTCCTCTAATTATAGGTCTAGGTCATTAAATATATTTATAGAAATAAGTTGGCAGATATTCTCACAAATAGTCAATTAATATAGTGTCAGGGCATATAATAGAAAAGATTTGATAAAAAATTTTAATTAAACTAATTTCTTAATTTCCGTGCAAAAATAATTGTTTCTATATAAAAAGATCGGAGGAAGTTATATTTAATTGTTTAACCATTTACATTTAATATGAGCGGGTGAAGCATAAATTTTTAATATATTTATTAAAAAGGAGAGGCTAAGTGGTAATTAAGATCAAACCTCGAGCACTAAATAGTAATCTTCTTATTGATCCAGTTTAATTTATTTCTGCTGTCATATTTGCATTCTTGATTTTTAATTGCACCATAGATTAAAAATTGTTTGTTAAGGTCACTTCTTAAATTTAACTATTGATAAATTTTTTAGGAATCGAATAATCTTTTCACAGTAAATTAATGTCCTAAACAGAAAAAAAAAAATGTTGAATCAGTTTTTTATATTTATATTTTACTTGTTTATCATGATATTTTCTAGAAGTATACTGTGATTTGCAATCTGCAAATAATAAATTAATATGTATGAAATCTTAAACAAAATGAAAATGGTGACTTGATGGATATGATTTTATCATTTATGTTAATGTTATTGCTGCTGTTTGTGTGCAAACAGGCTTCTGCAGGGAGCAAAAAAATTGTCGGGGTTTTCTACAAGGCCAATGAATATGCTTCAAAGAATCCCAATTTTGTGGGATGTGTAGAAGGAGCTTTGGGCATACGTGACTGGCTGGAATCACAAGGCCATCAATACATTGTCACTGATGACAAAGAAGGGCCTGATTGTGGTGGGTTGACTGACATTTACACTTACTGCTTCTTGAGGAAACTATCATTGCATACTTTGAATTCATTCTTTTTCTTTTTCTCAAATTTCCTCCTTTTATTTAGGAGTCTGCAATCCAATTCTTCACTGCTTTACAGTAACAGATTGAAGCCTTAGAGCCAAGTATAATAATGACAACAAAAAATGTTGGAGAAGTAAATTATATGATTTATGTGTGATCACATTGATATGATAAAGCACAGAGTATTCTCCTTTGGAAATTTAACCGACTAATACCAGTTATTCCAATGAAATACATTTTATAATAATGAAGATCAGAATATATGCATATTATTTCATCGTCTGATTGCTGCTTTTGGAACAGTGGCCCTAGATTGCAGTCATAATTTTGATATATATAAGGCCAAGTTTTTTTATTTTTCTCTTGTTTTCTTTCTTCTTATCGCAGAACTTGAAAAGCATATTCCTGATCTCCATGTCCTCATAAGTACCCCATTCCACCCTGCTTATGTTACGGCAGAAAGGATCAAAAAAGCCAAAAACTTGCAATTGCTCCTTACAGCTGGAATTGGCTCAGATCACATCGATTTGAAGGCTGCTGCAGCTGCAGGGCTAACTGTTGCAGAGGTCACAGGAAGCAATGTTGTTTCAGTTGCTGAAGATGAGCTCATGAGAATTCTTATTCTTGTCCGAAATTTCTTACCTGGATATCATCAAGTTATCAGTGGTGATTGGAATGTAGCAGGCATTGCTTACAGAGCCTATGATCTTGAGGGAAAGACAGTGGGAACTGTTGGTGCTGGACGCATTGGTAGGCTTTTGCTGCAACGGTTGAAACCTTTCAACTGTAATCTTCTGTATCATGATCGAGTTAAGATCGACCCAGAATTGGAGACTCAGATAGGAGCAAAATTTGAGGAGGACCTTGATACAATGCTTCCCAAATGTGACATAATTGTCATCAACACACCTCTTACGGAGAAGACAAAGTAAAATTTCTAACCTCTGTTGTACAAATCTATGAACTTTTGATTTCCCACAACTCTTTTTCACATTTTATTTTACCATTGTGGTAATTGGCTTTCCAAAGCCTTAGTGTGACACATCTAGTATCATTGTTATAAAATACATAGTACCAATCTTACCGGATCATTTGACTTCTGTTGGTCAGGGGTTTGTTTAACAAAGAAAGGATTGCAAAGTTGAAGAAAGGGGTTCTTATTGTTAACAATGCTCGAGGAGCAATCATGGATACACAAGCAGTTGCTGATGCTTGCTCTAGCGGACATATCGGAGGTAACAATATAGTTAGCAGAATGTTTGTGACTAAGAATGTTGCAACATATTTTCTTAATGCAGGATATAATATCTGAACATTGCAGTTCATGATTTAAATGTTCACGAGTCTTCTCCTTCTTGTCTTTCTAATTTCTTCATTCTTTGTCCAAGATAAAGGGGTGGCACGAAACAATATTGAAGTGGTTGGAGAGAATCAGGGAATAAATAATTGTTGCAATTTAACAAATTATCCATGGTTTTTTGAGTGGATATCTTTTAACATGCAAGAAATCATTCACGACTTTCAAGAATTATGTGTCACTAATTGTTGTTTACCTGTAATTTGCAGGCTACAGTGGAGATGTTTGGTATCCACAACCTGCTCCAAAGGACCACCCATGGCGTTACATGCCAAATCAAGCTATGACTCCTCATATTTCTGGAACCACAATTGATGCGCAAGTACGGTCATCAAGTTCTTATCCTCATTGTTTGAACTTCATTTGTATTTTTTTATTTATTGTACTCATATTGAATGCAAATTATGCAGTTGCGATATGCTGCTGGAGTTAAAGACATGCTTGACAGATACTTCAAGGGAGAAGAATTTCCTCCACAGAATTACATTGTCAAGGAAGGGGAACTAGCACCTCAATACAAGTGAGCATTTCAAGGTCCCACAATAAATAACCCTAATTGAGGTTTCCTGTTATCCGTGAGAAAATGATGAGTAAGCTGTAATGAGTGAATGTAGGATGGTTATAATCCATCCTAATGTTTATGATCTATGCATCTATCTGTTTCTTATTGTTGTGAAATGAATTTGTTATTTCCCTCTACTTTGATCAGAATTGGCATGTGAAATTCAGTTGTCTTTCTTAACTGCCATGATCACAGGTTTAATTACATTTGAAATAGGATTCTTTGAATTTCGACATTCATTTATAGCCCTAAAAGTTGATCAGCTGGATGGGCTTGATTTTGGTGAGTTAGAGAAATCACAACCCCATTTGACCAGTTTAGACTTCTACTATGGTCTAATACATAAAGATAAAGATGATTTTGTGCCTTTTTTGAGCAACTTAGAGAAGAGGAAGAAGAAATAACGATTTCACATTTCCTTTGCAAAGAATAACATCTCAAGAAAGATCTAAATGGATGAAATATTCAATCAATTTCATTAGTAAGTGTAACAACAACAGCTAAAGAAAGTAAGAACTCTCACCGTTTTTGTTGATATTCATCGTTTTTCCTTTTCCGAGTAGAGTATATGATATTTTGAACAGTACAAGCAACAAAACTCCAGGCATTTACATCTGGAAGTTTTAATTTTGCACTCACTTAGAAGTCACCGCTGTATTAACAATAAGCATTTACGTTAAGTGTCTCTATTTTGTTTAAGGAATTCGAGGTCTTTCATTTGTAACTGTACAGCTTCTTTAGGCAAGTTCTTTGGCTCTGGAACATTCACTTCATCACTACCTTCAGCCACTTTCTTTGCTTTATCTTCAACAATTCTTTCTATTTCTGGCTGCTTGACCGATGGAAAAACAGCACTTAGCATTAGAGTCAGCAATTTCTCATCTTCTGTTTCAATAGGATCCTTCCCAAAGCAGCAAATGTAAATTGCCTCGAGTGCCTTTTCAGCTCGCACCTCCATTGGAATACTAGGGCTTGAAACCTTTAATTTTGCTCGCTTCTATAGTTCAAACATTGTTATTAGCAGAAAACTAATTAAAGCCTCGAGAGTAAATCAAAATAAAGAGCATCATCAGAAAAGGGAACAACATTATGAAAATCTTGATAGTCAAGATATCATATGGTCTTGCAAACAAATCCACATTCTAATTATACACGTTTCACTAGAGAAGTATATTTCTATCGAAGTAGGAAATCCTAGTCTATCCAAAGGCATGTATTGTTTAATTCACACGACTAGACCGCACTGTATATCTTTAATTTACAAGCAATTGAAAAATTCCAAGTGTAGAATAGTTCCAGAGTCAGACCCCTCTTTTCATGCTAAGAAATCTTTTACTCTAGGGCCACATCCAGCTAGCCTGCTTAAGAAATAAGAACTCATGTCATCAAATTTCAGGCAACAGGTTGAAAACTAATCCAGTTATTGCTACATTTTTAGTGAGTTTCTCAGCAAGGAACTTAGTTATCACATCTCTATTTGATAAGTACTCTAAAACACAATTATTCCTACTCCTAGGCAAGTTGCAAAGTGAAAAAAGAAACAACATCATTTACTACTTATTATTCTTCGAAATGATACAATCTTTACCTTAGGAGGCCTTAATCTTTTCAAGCAGTTTTTATGTTAGTACTTGACGCATGAATTCTTGTACGTTTAAGATGATCAAGTGTCTGCCTTGTAGTGCAGGACGTCAAGGGATTCAAACCTTGGCACTTCCATTCCCATTTAAATATTCCCGTTTTCTAATGTACTGGGAAAAATATAAATTAATAGAAGTAAGGGTATTTAATTTGAGTTAGAAACTAAATCCCCAGCTAGTCTACTCCGTGTTTGATATAAATGAATTTGAAGTATAGATTTCATTTACAAACAAAAGCCTTTCAGCTTAGTTGTGTTGAATTGTATAAAATTTATTTCAAGAGGTTAAGCGGAACATTTCATTTATACGTAACACGAAACATGGAATTCCAAATGAATTGACATCTCACTTTCAGACACCATTCAAAGCAAGAGTTGATTACTCTAATTGATTTCCAGCATGGACTTCAAGAAATCAGACAAAGAAAGATAAAAAGGAATGAAAAAGATTTCCAACCTCTCTGGCTTCATTCATCAACGAAATGAAATTCTGCTCTTCAAACTCAATATCATTTGATATCCGAAGCCGTGCTGCCCCTTCCAGAATCTCTTCGGATTTGAGAAGACCAGCACCAACAGCTGCTAGCCAACAGCACAATAGAACATACAAAGGATCCCCTACCTATCCAGAAGCAAAATATTCAAGATCTCAATTCCAAACTACTAAGACACTATTATAATCCTAAAATAAATGAACTAAAATAAGAATTATAATCAATAAAATCACAAAATTACAGAAACCGAATTCAAGAACTTAAAGACTAACTATAACCTTCAAAATCAGTTAAAAAAAAAAAAAAAACTTTAACCTTCAAAACTCTGATAAGAAACAAAATCTTCAAGAACTCAATTCCAAACTACTAAAACACTGTTATACCCTAAAACAAGTGAACTAAAATAACAACTAGAATAAATAAAATTACAAAAAATAAAGAAACCATATTCAGTAACTGAAGGACTAATTATAACTTGATTATGCACATGGGCTTAAGGCGATTCAAAGGAATTAAATTGATTAACTCAATTACCTTGCCTCGCCGATCCTGGAACTCATAGAAAGCTCTAGAATCATTGATGGTGCAATTATTGCCCACTCTTCTTCTGAACTCTGCGAAATCAATAATATCACCACCAACACCACCTTCATCGTTGAAAATTCTAGCTACAAGGCCTATCACAGGGAGAGAGCCAATGACTTTGTTGGCGAAACTGGAAATGGAATTTGGATTCTCCATATAAGCTTTAACAGAAAGGAACCCATTAGAGTTGAGCACTTTTTGTCTAGTGGGTCTCCTACAATTGCTGTAAATTTGATGGAAATGTTGGAGGAATGGTGATATTTGGTTGCAGGAAGTGAGGATAGATGGTAGTGAAGTGGATTTTGTCACAACCACCATGGCCGTGAAGTGTGGTAGTTAGTTTCGTCTTGTGATATTAGCCTCACATTTATGTGTTGTTATCCACTAGAGCGTAGTCCTGTGCTTTCGCTGTATGCTTTCAATGATCACGGAACCGGGTATTCGCCCGGTTGGCTCGGGCAATCTTTTTTGGACTCGAATCGAATTGAGTTGAGCATTGAATGAGCCTGATTCGAGTCGGGCCGACCAAGATAAAACTGGGGAGATTTTATTTGTTTGTTTATAAGAATTTGTAACATGTTTTTGACACATATAATATAAAATCAAAATTTGTTTCTTTTATATTATAAAATCAAAATTAAAAAATTTAATATTTTAATAACTTTATTTCATGTTTATTGTATGTTTTTTATCAACTTATATGCGGATCGAGATTCAAAGACTAAATCTTCTTCATATGATATTAAGCACCCATTCATCTGGTACATTCAAAAAATTATTCTTACAATTTTGTGCGGTGAATCAAATTCATCTAAAATGGGCATAGCAAGACATAGTTTAATAGTAAATGCAAGTATTCTAACATTAATGCTCGGTTTATTTCTGTAAAATAATTTATAAGAAAATAATTTGCTCAAAAATATTTTTCATGGAAAATATTTTTCTTGAAAAATATTTTTCAAATGACTTATTTTTCATTATTTAGTTGTAATATTGAAAATTGATTAAAAATATTAAAGTCTTTGTCTTATAACAGCATAAAAAATATTAATAATAACATAAATTTTATAATTTAAAAATTTTATTGTTAAATATGATAAGAATGCAATATATATATATATATATATACAAATGACTTATTTTCTATTATTTAGTTGTAATATTGAAAATTGTGATGTCAATATTAAAGTCTTATGTCTTATCACATCATTTAAAAAATATTTAATAAAACCATAAATTTATAATTTAAAATTTTATTATATGTTAAATATGGATAAGAATGCAATATATATAATATATATAGTATATAGTATATTGTAGAACCGCCGAGGCTGTGGCCATAGGTGTTGATTTTCTCGTGGCCAGTGGTAGGGGTAGGAGATATACGACACGGGAGTGTAGTGCGGGTGATAAATGTGGTCGACTGCAGTGATCAGTAACTACCAAATGTTAATTCAAATTAAAAAAATAGGATAGATTTAATAAGGTTTGTCAATATTCCGCGAAAAATTGTTTTACCCTCATCGAAAATATAGAAGTTATTTTCCTTAACAAAACTTGACATTAATTTTTCTTTGGATCCAGAAAAAGTATATTTTCAAAGTTGGACTTATTTTCTTGATCGACTAAACCAATAAAAAAATTGTGGGAAAAAGTATTTCCCTGCAGAAATTTACCTGAAAACAAAACCAAAGCCTAAAACAACCCATTCTAATATCGGGTCGTGGAAGTAAAACATTTTAAATATATATATATATATATATATATTGTGAACCGCCGGTGGCCCATGGTGTTGATTTCTGTGGCCGGTGGTAGTAGCAGGGAGTGGTAGTCGGTGATAAATGGTGACTGGTGATAGTAACTACAATGATTAATAAATTAAAAAATATAGATTTATAAGGTTTGTCAATATCCGGAAAATGTTTTACCCTCTCGAAAATGAGAAGTTATTTTCCTTAAAAAAATGACTTAATTTTTCTTTGATCAGAAAAATTATTTTCAATTGACTTATTTTTCTGAATCCTAAACAATAAAAAATTGTGAAAAATATTTTCCTGCAAATTATTTTACGAAAACAAACCAAAGCCTAAAACAACCCATCTAATATGGTCAATAACATTTTAATAACTTAAAATTAACTTATTTAATACTATCTATGTCTATAATATTTGCACATTTAAAATTTCACGTTCCTTAAGAAAACCATTAAATTTGTCTAAGTTACAATAAATTATTAAGTAAATTGGTTATGTTACCCTTAATTTAATATTAATTCTCTAATAAATCGTTAAATTGAAAATAATTATTGATCATATATAAATGGTAATATGGAAAAAATGAATTTGTTACTCCTCAAACCACAAATGTGATAAGAACAAATTATTTTCTCAATTATAACAAGTATTATCTAACGGAGGTAGTAATTACATGCATTTTTTCTTTTGAGGAAGAATATTTACCTGCATTTAAATCAGGGTATTAAAATAACCCGAACATTTATTTTCAAGGACTTTTCATTTAAAAATTTAATTTTTAATTTCAACCAATGAAATTTAAAAGAGAATGTTTTATTATTATTAGTAAACCTGATGAAAAACCCATAAATCAGTTGAAAACCAAAGCAACCATTGAGTTGGATTTGAATCAGTTCGAATCGAACCAAAATGACCCAGCACACGCTAGAAGCTTCTTTCTCTTCCTTTTCTTTTCTTTTTCTTCTCCTTCTCTTTATTCTTCTCGTTTTAGCGCAGACCGTCTCTATCTCTTCGATTTTCTCATCCATCACTTTAGCCAGCCGGCGTCGACCTTCCTTCATCGCCGCCTTTCCTTTCGCTTCCGGTGGACGCAGCAATCAAGCAAGCTGCAGTCTCTCCTATCTGCGAACGGCGCAGCAGCGCCTCCGTTTATTTCCGACAGTACTAGGCGATTCCGACGACTTGAGGCTTTGAAGTGGGTCTCGCTCGACTCAACTCCTCAACGCGAATATTTCCCCCCCAGTAATTCCAGTGTTTGGCTCAGTATCGCGAATCCTCCATCGACGACAGCATTGAAGTGACTGTCAGTGTGATTTGCAGCTAAAGAGCTCGTTTACTTTGCAAACTGAGTCCAGATATGGACTCCTGGTGAAAATTCAATTTGCCCGGTGGCTTCGTCGTCGAAGTCGATTTCCCGACCATCATGCGCAGTTGTCGGCGGCGGTATTCCGTCGAGTCTCCGGTGAGACCCCGGCAGGCAAAAACTCGAGACCAGTAAACTGGACATCCGAAACCGGATTTTTAATCAATATAATTTATGATTCAGTTTATTAAATTTAACGTAAATTTCAATCTAGAAATTATTGTTATTGAGTTGAATTAATTTTGATTAAAGTAATTGATGGTTAAGGATAAGATATGAATTTTATTAAATTGGAGTAGATTATAATTGCTACCATAAAAATAAATTGAATAAAACATATAATTAAATACTTGGTCATAAGGAATGAGATAAAAAGGAAAACAAATTGAAGTATAATTAAATTATATTGGTTCTTTAGTTTAAATTGAACTCAGGACTGTAAACCAAATAAAGAAATACAGAAATAAGTTGAATATTTAGTTCTATATGAATCATTCGGGAGATAAAAAATAATTTGAGTAAAATGAAATTTATTGCTAAATGGGTACCAGTTATTTTGAAATTAGAATTATAGGAATGAAGACGGTGATGAAATAGGTTACGCGGAGGATCTAATGTTTTGAGTAAATATTAATTAAATAAATGATTATTTATATATATTCATATAAAAGATTTATTATTTAGTGACTGGTTAAGGAAATAAATTATATTGAAATAAAGTAAAAATACTTGAGTATGGATTGAGGTTAGATCGAAGGTTATTTTAACCTATAAGGTATGAGTTAAACGTGAAATTATTATTTGTAATGATTGAATTGACTGACTGTTCGATAAATGAGCTAGGTAAGCAATAATTGATAAGTATATTAAGTTATTAGTATTCGGACAAGTAGAAAGTCCTATTTGAGGGGACATATTATCAGTAATATCGATAGAATTAAGATTAATTAAACCAATCTTATATCTAAGTAGATATGTGTAGCTTAATTGTTATTTAAGGAAGGTGATGTGTTTAATGCAGTTTTTCTTTTATATTTGTATTATAGCTAGATCGTCCGAGTTTGTCTACCACTTCTACTGCTCAAGATCCAAGCTAAAGTTTGCTCTATCTATTATCATTGTGAGTAATAATAAATGATGCACACTATCATTTGCATACATGCATTGACCATTTCACATCTTATAAATATATATATACAAATGATACTCGGCCTTCATTATTTTATTATTGAATTATAAAAATAACATTATTTGCATTATGATTTATCATATAAATTATAATATTATAAGTATATGAGAATTATATATTTATACACATTCCATAATTATATTCATGTGAGCTTGTTGATATCCTATGCAATATATTATATGGTGTGAGTTGATTGGACTACTTGTATATGATAAGTTGTGTCTTATATCCATGTGGAATTGGGATAAAGTGATTCATCATGAGATTGTGATGATGATCCGGGACCGTTGGCCAACTATGGGAGATCGGCGCTCAATGTGTGCACCTAATGAATATGATCTGAATGATTTGACAAAACCACAGGGTGACCTACTGTTGGAAATCAAAAAGAAAGTGAGAATAGAAAAAAAAAAGTGAGGACTGGTCAAGTGAGAAATAGACCAGTTGACCAGAAATGGGGATCGGCTCCCTAGTGCACCCATATGAGAGGACATGTCATATGTGATGACGGCTTGTCAAGGGTTTTGTGATGCCACTGACCAATCTCCATTTGATGTGATTACTTGAATGTGATATTGCTTATGAATGTTGATGTTGTAACATGTGCTTAACTGGACGAGTGTTCATCATAATAAATGTGGAAAGCATCATATGTGATCGTTTGAGTTATGCATTATTTATTATTATTCACTGAGTTTATAAAACTCACCCCTTAAATTTTTCTCAGAAGATAGGCACTATGATGTTTTAGATAAGCTTTGCTTCTTTCTCCGCAGAGTTAAAGTAGAAATTTCTAGTTTTTGATAACATTTGAGTGTACAGTATTGTGTATAACAATGTATCAATTTTTGTATTGAACTCTGCAAATAAAGAATCATGTATTATAATTTATTATGTAAAAAATGTCAGTGTGTTGTTCAATAAACATATGAAATTTGACTCTCTATAAGTATGATTGACATAATTTGCCCATATTATGGACGACGTGAATGGTATATGAAATATAGGCGAGCATGAATTATTTGATAAATAAAAGTTGGGCCAAAGATATGATTTAACAGTATGATTTGATAACATCGTATTATGAGCTTATTATTCTTGAAAGTAGCGTTAAAAAAAAAGCTATAATGAGTTAGGCTTATTACGGACCTCAGGCGCCTTAAGCTTACATGAGTCATAGTGCTGATTCGGCCTACAGTTTTGAGTCGCAACAGGTATTCAACTCATTTTAGAAAATTCCTACACTTATTATTTAATTGATATACCATTTTAACTGTTTTATTAATAAATTCTTAGACTCAGTATTTAATTAATATACCATTTTAGCCGTTTTTTTTTTTGTTAGAAAAGGGAACGACTTTACCCGTAATTTGACGAAATTTACTCTTTGTAGTTAAATACCCTAATTTCGATGCACCTAAATATTAAAATAAATTAAATTTAAGTTATTAAAACGTTATTGACCATATTATTTTGAATTATTAAAGAGGAAATTTCAATAAAACATATAAATATCTTAAAGTTTTTTTAACCTGTACTCAAAAATTTTTTTTTTTAACTTGTAAAATAAATCAAACAACTTTTTAAACTGCCTAAACGCTTAAATTTAAGTATAAGAAAGGTGTATTGAATTAAAACTTTATTAGATTTTAAAATTTAATGGTATTTAATTTATAATTTTTTGAAAAGCTTGTGGTATTCAATTCAGACTCTTAAAAAATCTAAACAATCTGATAGTATTCAATTATAACTTTTTAAAAATTCATATAAATTTGATGGTATTAAAAAAAATTATTGATTTAAAAGGATTTTATAAAATTATTGATTTCGTTGAATTTTAAGGTGCTAGGTATGAATAAAAGAGTCATTCACAAATCCATCATTCAATCCAAAGATTTCAAAAATCTTTTAAAATCTAACACAGTCTTAATCCAATACCCTTTAATAAGGATGGAAGAAGTAGAACAGGTATCAGCGAATTTTAAACGTATTTGTTTAAAATTTTAGTACTCATATCCATTTTAAATCATTTAAGTATCCGTATTCGAATCTGTTTAAATTTTACTACCCGTATCTATCCAAAACTAATGTAAAGTATCTCTTAAATGGGTAGGGCGCTGCGAATCTTAAAATTCAAATTTATTTAAAATACATTTTTTGCTAATAATAAATAGGGTACCCGCGGGTACCCACTATTAGACTTGTTTAATATAGCGGTTAACGAGCAGCGCGTATCCAAATATCTATACACGTACTTTATTTATATCCATTATGGGTAGTAATTTTACTTCACATATTCATTACGATTAATAATTTCACTATCCATATTCGCTTCAAACCCTTTTATAACTACGGTGTTGCAAATTTTTAGAATTAATTTGATTTTTTCAAAAAAAAATTATGAGTTGATTTCAATTAAATAATTCTTTAATCAAATAAAAAAAATAAAAAAGATTTTGAAATAGTCAAAGAATTGAAGAATACAATCTGTCATTGTTGTGGGTAAACCACTAGGCTATGTGAGCCACAAGTGACGGATCGTGCATTGATTTTAAATTAATATAAAATCACCTCCTTGTGCAAGCTCTGGTAGTTGGCGTAGGTCCTGGCTAGGGGTCGTTGCTGGTTTTCAGTTATATATATACAATTTTTTTAGCAATAAATAAAATGATCCTCCGTACTCTACCAAGCGCAGTTGGCGTATCCCACTACCCTTAGGATCTTGATTTAACTATAGCGGTTAACGAGTCAGCGCGTATCCAAGATATCTATACACGTACTTTACTCTTATATTCCATATATGGGTACAGTAATCTTTTACTATCACATTATTCATTACGGATTAAATTAATTTCACTACATCCATTATTCGCTTCCAAACCCATTTTATAACTACGGTGTTGCCAAAATCTTTATGGTCTAGAATTAATTTGGATTTTTTACAAAAAAAAAAAATTATAGTTGATTTCAAATTAAAATTAATTCTTTATCAAATTAAAAAAAATAAAAAAGATTTTGAAATAGTCAAAAAGAATTGAAGAATACCAATCTGTCATTTGTTGATGCGGTAAAACCACTAGGCTATGTTGGCCACAAGTGACGGAATCGATGCATTGATTTTAAATTAAATATAAAATCCACCTCCTTGTGCAAGCTCTGGTAAGTTGGCGAATAGGTCCTGGCTAGGGGTCCGTTGCTGAGCCAAGTTTTCAGTATATATATATATAATAATATATATATATATATATATATAATAAACCTGTTGATTTCATACTAGGCGACTTTCAGACTAAAGGTGACCGGAAGAAGTCCCGTGGTTTTCTGACCACATTCATGACTGTTCTAAGAGTACAAATGGTCACTGACGGACAACTAGCCATCTGCAGGTCTTTACCACTGTTTGGTGGCCGGGTTAAGAATTTTAATGAAGAAAATGATTATTCGCGAGAAAATGGACAGTTCACTTGTTGGACCTCATTGTTTTCAGTTTTTCAATTGGGCTCCAATACCTCTTTAATTTGTATTAATTAGAGTTTTGAAATTAATTTTTTGATCCAGTAGATATACGAAAGAATCTACATTGTAATTCCATCAAAGCCAACCACAATCTCATAAAACACAGGTCTCAACTCAAATTTATTCACTCAAAACTTCATGTAGGACATTCATAGTGACATATGTGGAAATACATTAGAAAAATCTTTCAATTCCATCAAACTTCAATAATTCTCTTTAAAATCTATAATATAATCCTAATCTAATTTACACAAATGTCTAAATTTTTGTCTAGACTTAATCGATTTCTATGAGCTTATCCATTAAACCAAACAAATTCATAATAGGAGATTTTTTTAAAATTGATCTCATTTTATTTTTATTTTAGCTAAATGGTCTAGAAATATATATAAACCTGTGATTTTTCAATGAGACAGTCACTGTTCAGCTAAGGGACGAGAAGTCCGTGGTTTTCTGACCACATCATGACTGTTCTAAGAGTACAAGATGGTCACTGACGACACTAGCCATTGCAGGTCTTTCACTGTTGGTGGCGGTAAGATTTTAATGAAGAAAAAATGATTTCGGAGAAAATGACACGTTCACTTGTTGGACCTCATTGTTTTCAGTTTTTCAATTGGGCTCCAATACCTTTTAATTTGTTTAATTAGGTTTTGAAATTAATTTTGATTAGATATAGAAAAATTATTGTAATTCCATCAAAGCCAACCACAATCTATAAAAAAGGTCTCATCAATTTTATAAAATTCATGTAGAATTCTAGTGACATATGTGGAAATCTTAGAAAATCTTTCAATTCCATCAAACTCAATAATTCTTTTAAAATCTTATATAATCCTAATCTAATACACAATTCTAAATTTTGTCTAGATTCGATCTATGAGCTTATCCATAAACCAAACAAATTATAATAGAGATTTTTTAAAATTGATCTCATTTTATTTTTATTTTAGCTAATGGTCTGAAATACATCTATTTTTTAAAAATAATATTTTTCATTGGTTGGACCTATAAATGAATTAACGATCAAACCTAATTAAATTATTCTCTAAATTTAATATAAATGGGTTAAACTCATATATAAAAAAATGAATATGGAAAGCAAGTTTAAATTTTAAAAGGTAAATATCTTGACAAAGATATTAACTTTTTAAATTTAGAAACCATTTCTTTACTTACTACAATACACATTTATTAGATAATAATCATAAATGAAGAAAATACCTTCATCTCAAGATTAAAACCCTAATTTTATTTTGGTTCCTAAAAAGTCAAGCAATTGATTGATTATTATTATTTATTTAATCATACAGCAGGTACACATGGCTTAATACCAGCCCCGTAACACTGAAAGTTTATGCATAGATTCTTTCTACATTCTGTTCTGTTGTTGTTTCTTGTTATTTCCTGGCCTTCTGGCTCCTACAGATGCGACACAAATTTGGCGGCACCAACACTTCTTCTCCATTGCCACTCTCCGCGAAATCTTCCTAACTTTTACAGAATACCCAACTAAAAAAGGATTCTCTTTTCCAAATTCCTATATCTTCTCCTTATATTTTCAATATTTCTTTCAAATAACCAGTTCTTCTTCTCTCCTTTAACTCTTCAATCAGTGATAGATTGAACCGGAAGAAAATATGGGTGCTTATTGCAATGAAGACTTCACTTTGCCTTCCCTCAATGGATTTGCCTCTTCTCACAATCTTCGATTACTGAAGCACGTCCACGATAATGTCCATGGCAACATCTATCTCGATCCTGTAATCTTGTCTTTATAATTTTTTTTTTTTGTCTGTTTAACTTTTAGTTCGACAATGGGGTTTTTGTGGATTTTCAGTTTTTGGGCATTTTACTTGTGGGTTTTGAATCTTATTAGAAGTATAATGAGGATTTTAATTGTTAATTCTTACATTTTCTGTGGGTTCTTGCTTCCAGCTATGTGTGAAGTTTTTGGATACCGAACAGTTTCAAAGGCAAGCTTATCTTTCCGGAATAATGTATTTAGTATTTTGGTTATGAATATTTTACGATGGATTTCTAATGATTTAGTTTTAATCTGTATTGCAGGCTTCGTGACCTCAAACAACTAGGTCAGTCCTCTGTTCTTAATATTAGAAGAAAGTCATCAAGAAGTTATATTTCCACTTGTTTATGATATATTTCATCTGTGTGTATGTATTTATGTAACTATGTCATGTCTTTAGCATCAAGTAATTACTCGACTGCCCTTGATGTTTTAGACAGTTTAATGTCATAATTCATGAATCTACAATACAGGCTATAGAGTGTATTAAAATACTCTTTTTACATGTGTTCTAGGTGTAACCCACATGGTTTATCCCGGGGCTGTGCATTCAAGGTTCGAGCATTCTCTTGGTGTGTATTGGCTTGCTGGTGAAGCTGTTGAAAGGCTCAAAAATTACCATGTAGGAACCTATTTTGAGCTTCTTTTGTATGCTATGCTCCTCATAATGGTATTTGTTCCACTAATCTGGGAAATACCTTGCTTTCATATTTACTTCCTGTAATTGTAGGGTTTGGAGCTTGGTATTGATAACTTTGATGTTCGGACAGTGAGGCTTGCAGGTATTTTTTGTGTTTAACTTGCAATGCCTCTGTTTGAAACTGGTTTTTGTTTTCTATGGTCCTATTATCTGTTCATCTAATTTTTAGGACTTTTGCACGATGTGGGCCATGGTCCTTTCAGTCACATGTTTGAACGTGAGTTTCTCCCCAAGGTTATAAATGGTGAAAAATGGTACGTTCATATCTTAGATGGCTTACACTCAAATCACTTATCCTAACATAATGAAGATCATCATTAGTTCTGATAGTATGTGTTTCTGCAGTTCTGCTTGAATAATATGTCTTACTAGCAAAATGATGCTTTATGCATGTGATGAATGCATATAATGATTATGGCATTGTGCTTCTATTGCCAATTAATTTTTTTCCATTTACCCAGGACAAGCTTTTGGAATTCTGCATGTGGTTATTTGCCTTTCTCGTACATTGCAACTTACTCATTAGGTCCCATGTAGAAGTCTAAGTTTGAAGTAGCTACTTTTCCTAGGTGAATCTGATGCTTGAGATTTATGCTCTTTAAAATTCTATTCCCATTAGATAAAAAGGATTTCAGAGCTTTTGAATTTGCTGGTCGTTTTTCTTATATACTTTTGTTGTAATTGTACTTTCTAGGTGTCATGAACAAATGTCTGCCAAAGTTGTTGATCATATTGTTGATGAGCACCATATCGATGTTGACTCTGGCATGATGAGAAGAGTTAAGGTATGGTGCTATTTGGAAATTTTGTTAAAATCATTTCTAATTTTCTATTGAGTACATGGCGAGCCATAGGATTTTTATATGAGCTTTAAACACAAATCCACCAATGGGGTGTATAACCACCTTATGGTGGAGGAGACTGACCACCGTGGAGTGGCTGTATAATTCATTATTTGAAAGTATTTTTGCCATGATAAGCACAATTTCCTCTCTCTCACCAATTTGTTTTTATGAATATGGTTCATTATTTTTTTTCTTGCCTCAATTTATTTTCAGGAGATGATACTAGCCAGCTCAGAATTTCCACAGAGAAACGTAAGGTCTTTTTCCTTGGTTATTTATCCAGTGGTCATATTTTTATTAACTTTGGTGAATGTAACTTGTGGATGTAGATGTGTACTTGATAGTTGATTTTAGTTTTATTTGCTATATGTATTGTTGCTTTTACTATGCAGGATGCTAAGGAGAAGTGCTTCTTGTATGATATTGTTGCAAATGGTCGAAATGGAATTGATGTGGACAAGTGAGGTTTCAAAGTTTGTGTTAATAATTTCAGGGATTAATTTTCTTCATTTCAGCTTTGGTACTTAAGTTTTAGTGAGAGATGTTATTGATTTGCAGGTTCGATTATATTGTTCGTGACTGCCGAGCCTGTGGTATAGGATGTAGTTTTGAGTTCCAAAGGTTTTAGTTAACATCCTCTTGTTAACTTATTTTCTCGTCATACCTTCATTATGTTCTAATACCCTGCAAAGGATCAAATGGATATTAAAATTCAAAAAGTTTTCCTGGTACTAAACATTGTCAGATTGCTTGTAGGTTAATGGAGACAATGCGGGTTATGGGCGATGAGATTTGCTATCGTGCTAAGGACTGTGAGTGTCTTCTTTTCACGCAACCAAATTATTTAGCTACGGTCTTTATTTTCTTTTGCTTAATACTGGTTGTTTTTCCAGATCTTACCATCCACAAGTTGTTTGCCACTCGTGCTGATCTTTATCGCACAGTTTATACTCATCCAAAAGTAAAGGTGTGAACCTGGACTAGTTCTTGTTCTCTAATATAGAATCCTTTATCCATGCTGAGCTATAAATCTTTTATTTTTACCCATTTTTCTTATAAATTTACTATATTTTGCACGATTTTTTTGTTCATTTTCCATTTAGTAGTTGAATTTCAGTATATTTATTCTGATAGTGACACTTTGCAGGCAATAGAACTTATGATAGTTGATGCCTTGTTGAAAGCAAATGACTATTTGCAAATATCATCTTTCATTCAAGATCCTTCAGAATATTGGAAGGTAACAATATCTGTTTTCTACAAGATGTTATTATGAATGATTTATTTCTCTTAGATACAGCATCTCGATTGATCATTCTTGAAAATTCAGTTAGATGACACAATAATCAAAACCATTGAGACAGCCCCTGATGAACAATTAAGAGAATCTAGAGATTTGATCCTGCGAATACGGAGGAGAGACTTGTACCAGGTGGGAATCAACTTTGCTGATTTATCACTTAAAAAAAAAAAAAAAAAAAATTCTAATTGATGTCTGTTTTTTCATTTTGATCCTACTAATGTTTCATTGAAATGAACATTGAAACTTATGGCTACTGTGTTGTAATATTTTATGTATTTTGCTCCTTTTATCATGTATTTGATAGTTATAAAAGTTGAAGTTTAATAAAACACTGTTTCATTTCTCTTTGGCAGTTCTGTAATGAGTATGCTGTTCCGAAGGACAAAATGGAAAATTTTAAAGATGTCACAGCAAAGGATATTGTTTGTTCCCAGGTGTTTGCATAACCTTAGCTATAAAACTATGCGCTTGCATGTGTTTAAAATGTTTCCTTTCAACTGTGTCAAAAAAACAAAAAAAAAAAAAAATCTGGTGTATTGAACGTTTTCAATTCACAGAAAAATGGTAATGTGCTCCTGAAGGAAGAGGACATAGCAGTAAGCAATGTTAGAATTGATTTGACTCGTGGAAGGCATAATCCTCTTGAAAGGTAATAGAATTTTCGGGCCTATATTTTTATTTAAATAATGCACTTCTCTTTCTTCTAATTCTATGTTGAATGGTACATTCTACTGATTTTTTTTCTTCCAACCCCTCAAACAAAACCTCCTCCTTTTCTGGGTGTATCCGCTTTTCTCCAGCATCAATTTTTTCAAGGTACTTAGTTCCACTATCTTGACCTGATTTTTTTTTTTTCTGAACTCATGCTCTATTCTTCCGTTTAGCCTCAATATTAATTGGGTCCAAATTTGGCCTTGATTGGCATTAATATTACTGCTCCATGTTTTAGAATGGGAATAACTATAGAGACACCTGCTAGGGTGAATGTGATTGTGGATGTGCTGTGTTATCTATTGCTTGTCTTTTCTCTTTTACTTCTAGATTTTAGAATGAACTGTTCATACTGTCCCTCTGTGAACCAAAAAGTACCATGTGGCGTGTGTGTTAAGCACCATCTGGAATGTCACAAATCACTTGTGGTGGGAGCAGAAACCTCCAGTAAAAACTGAAATGAGAGGTAACACCTCTCTAGTAAAAACCTGTTGTTTTAATGGTAATACACGCTCGAGTTGAATGGACAAACCCGAAAATGAGATTAGTGTTGTACCTAAAGGAGTATGAGGATACTCACGAGACATCCCAAAAAAAAAACTGTTGCGTTACCAAGTTTCACCCAATTTAATGTGTGAGAACTATAACTGTTATTGATGACCAAGTTATGTTCCCTAGTGAATTTATTAAGCTCTGCCGTGAGAGCTTGGTTTTGTTGGATACAAGTTTTTCATTGTCTTCATTTCCTGGGGATGATACAAAAGTGTTGATAACATTTACTTTCTGTTATAGTAAATCTGTGATATCTCTTTAGTCTAGAGAAATTCTCATCTTACAGTACTAACCTAATAGACATTACAGGAATATTTAGAGCAGACTGAAGTAATATCTTGAATTAGCATCCTTGCTATTTCCTGATGTCCTACAGCGTATCTCATTTCTTTTGCTATTATCTTCTGTTCAGGATTATGAAAGTGAGGAGAAATTTCCTATACCTGATGAGCGAATCAGTCACTTGCTACCTACATCTTATCAAGACATGATAGTGAGGGTCTACTCCAAAAAGAAAGAACTGGTCTGTAAAATTCAAAATGCTTTCCTGTAACAAATACTGTCTAATGTTATTTCATTAACTGTGACATTTTTGCTTCCAATTGCCACGTAACAGGTAGCTGCAGTATCTGAGGCTTTTGAAAATTTCCAGTTGAGAACTTATGGAATTAAGGCACAAGTTCATGCAACTCCAGAGAAGAAGAAACGCCGAACATGAGGTAGCATCAGGTTATTGCTGTTTTTATTATTTAACCCCTTAAAAATATTTGGAAAAGGACATAAAGGAGAAATGACATTTTCACAAAACAAAGTAGTAGAATAGTTTCATTGGTGATTCCCTGTGACTATAATATGCCTACGTTGTATAATAGTGACTTAAAAGCTAGCTGTTGATCATGACTGACAGTAAAATAAAATTTTGCACAGCACCATTTGTTAGAAACTAGCAGAATTACCACATCATGCTTTAAGTATGTCATTTCTGATGCTTATGCAGGTGCTGCATAAGTCGCAACATTGGAGTTGTATAGTTGCTGATCTTGCTGTCACATATACACCGGCGGATCGTTGAGTTGCCTCTAATCACAGCACAAGTTCCTGGATAACAAGTCTAGTGCCTTTGTTATTGATGATAGTGACGATATTGATGATAGAGACAATATTGGAATAGTTTTATACCTGGTCTAATTGTATGTTCATGGTTAGTTAGCTCTAGCCGAGTGGTTTTTTAGATTTTGGTTTTCCACAAGGGCAAGGTACACATATCCGAGCTCGTTCTTTTTGCAGCTTTATTTTTGTAGTTTTGTTCATTATACATATCCCAAGTATAATGAGAATATACTTCTGGAAATCAGGCAATTAAGTTTCAGTTAAATTTGATATTTTAATGATAAAACCTGTTCCCAAATCTCACTTCAAGCAAAAACAAATAAATGAATAAATAAATTCTATCTTTCAAATGCCAAATATATCCCTTAGTGGAGCAGTGCGCACATTATAATATATCATTGCGTTATTTCAAATGAAAAAAGCTATTGGAATTTGGATTACAATACTCCAAATCCAATTTGGACAATCCCCCATTCCTTGAGAGTCTTCAAGTGTTTTGTGCCTTTCAATTTAATTATATAAACTTACAAAACAAGTCCTTTGCATTTTTTGAATTGATGGAACAAAAATTCTATGGAATATAGAGCTCATTTTTCTAATTTCATTTATTAATAAAAAATAATAGAATTTAGAAATTTATGTTGAGATTTCAAATTAAATTAATAGGAGTTGGTCTGAGTGAAAATTATCGAAGCTTTCTCCTTATGGGCCTGACATAACTCCAGTAGGATTAACTTAGTCTAATAGGCTGGTAATTTATTAATTTCATAAATTAGAACATTTATTTTAAATCAAATGAAAAAACTATGGCAAATGAAGGGATAATTATAAATTTGATTTTTGAACTTTTTTGTTTTTTCTATTTTGGTGTCTGGAAGATTTACATTAAGTGTTGAAATTTTAATAATTTTAGTACATTAAGCGCATTTAGCCAGAAATAAATTATTTTACTCAATTGCTTTAATTATTTTCCTTAATTATTACTGTTTTTTATTTGTTTTCTCCCTGTTTTCAAATATTGTGTTGCAATTGAAAGAAAATTAGAAGGAATATTTGAGATTTTTGTTAGAGAGGATATATAAAATAAAAAAAAAAATAAAACAATAGATATGAATTTTATGTTTAATATCGTTATTGGATAAAATGGTCCATTTTAGTTTTTTGACAAAATAATCTGGTAGAATGAACTTAATTACAATAGTTTAATAGTTGACACACTCAATTGTAAATTTTTTCATTGAAATATCAAAATAAGAAAAAAAAAATTCAACCACTACAAATATAATTAACACAACAAATTAATGAAATTTTAAATTTTATTACTCAAACCCCACAAATACAATGGAGTTCATTTTAATTTTTCAATTTTAAATCAAATAGAGCTCATTCCAATTGCATGAAAACCAAGCCTAGTCTCGTTGGCTCCAACTAGGGATGGAAGTGAGGCAGTTATCCCCAAAATTTATACTACTCAAGTTCAAAACCGTTTAAATATTTTGATATTCATATCCATTTCAAATTCATTTAAAATTTCTTTTGAAATTTTCATACTCATGCTTTCGCCCGTTCCACATCTATTTAACTAATACCCAAAACCGTTTTAAATGGATTGAAGGGAGTAGAAATATCCATGAAAATCTACTCTGCTTATATATGCAATACCCCACTAAATCCATTATAGTTTATCTTAGTCGAGTCTTGAAAGATAATGATGATAATAAAGGATGGAACAAGAAAAAGAAAAATATTAATAAAGGACGATTCTAAAATTCTAGTCATTTAATATTTTATTTAAGTAATTAATTTTTTTAGTATTTGATGGTATTAGGATTTAAAGGCTTGAGTCTAATTTATTATAGTTTTAACAAAATATTGAGTCCAATATGCATTTAAAATTTCACTTGATTTTATTATATTAAAATTTTTAATTATACAATGGATTTTGAAAGGTATCTACATTTTTAAAATCATACATCTGTGGTGAGTAATTGATTTAAATCTCGTAATCATCTCAAACTTATTTAGTCAAATATTCAAACATAGTTCCACGAAAACAAACCTTTAGCACCGTGCTTTCAGAAAAACAACGTAGTAGTCTGAAATTACTTGTTTTTTTTTTTTATAAAAAAAAAAGTAAATAAAAGAAAAAAAGAAAAAAAGAAGAAAACACGGTGAAATTGATAGAGCAATTAATGATTGGACTCAGATTTGAAGCAAAATCTGAAGTGCAGATAGTGGATGGCTGGATTAGTCGGTGGAGAATAAAATAATAATATATGTACAAAAACCAAAGTACATGTCATTTTCCATTTTTTGCGGTTAATTGTTGATTTCACAATTTTTTTTTTTTTTTTTTTTTTTTTTTTTTTTTTTTTTTTTTGGGATTTATCCAGCGGGAGCCATGCATTAAAGGCTAGGGAATAAAAAAAATTTTACAAAAAATTAAGAGACCGAATTCATAAAAATATATTTTTTTGCGATAAATTTTTTTTTTTTTTTTTTTTTTTTTTGGGATTTATCCAGCGGGGGAGCCATGATTAAAGGCTAGGGAATAAAAAAATTTTACAAAAAAAATTAAGAGACCGAATTCATAAAAATATATATTATTTTGGATAAAATTGAAAAATTTTACTATCCTATAGGTAAATTTAAAAAATTTCACTCAGTCGTACTTTATAATTGAGATTATATAAATCAAAATAATATGATAAAATTATCAGGTACTACACTCTTTTAATTTAATTTAATACAAATAATAAATGCGATTCAAAAATAAATCTGGGACTTTTTGAATTTCAAGATCTCAATTCTAATCATTGGGCCGAAACCACGCTAGCGTCCCATTGGCATTTATTACCTGCCATTGGATTAACATGTCAAATATCTAGTAATTGTCTTTAGGAACAAATGGTATAACTTCTCTCTTCCTCTGTTTTTTTATTTATTTATTTATTTATTTATTTATTTTTTGAGAAGATATAAATGGTATAAGAAGTTCAAACTCTTATAAGAAAATATTTACCTCCCTATATTTGAGTTGAGCCTGAGGAGGTAAAATTTTTCAATTAAAAATTATTTCCTTCATTTTAAAATAGGTGTCGTCTTTAGCTCAGCACGTAGATTAAAAAATTTATTGTTTATAGAATATGCTCACCCCTCGTTTCAATATAAAAATATATTATATACTTATGGGAATTGGATATAAAAAATTTAGTAGAGGTATGAATAAAGTGAGATTTATAAATCTATCACATCAAGAAAATTTCTAATTGGACGAGAGATTTATAACATTATATGCACTTTCAACAAGTTATATTTATCCAGCGTGCGTGCATCTCAAAAAACACATATTTCAGGCTTTGTTTGACAATATTAGCTTTAATAACTGTTAATTATTCTATTAATTATTAGCTATTAACTATTAATTATTTATATAGCGTTTTAAATTAAAAGCATTCGGTAAAATTAACTGTTCAATTTAAAATGACAAAAAATATTAATTGTTTAATTAGCTAAATTCAGAGGAAAAAAACAATGAATATAATTGTTAAAAAAAATTTAATTAAAGGTAAAACACTAAATGTTAAAAGCTAAAAATAGTGTTTAATATTTCATAAAAAGCTCTCTCAATTTATAAAAATTATTATAAAAAAATATATTACTAAGCTATAATTAATAGAGATAGAGTTTCAATTTGACCAAAACGCTGCAAACCAGCTCAAAAATTGTTGCCTTATAGTGTCATAATCTAAGAAGCTTTTTGTTTGGTTAGTTAATTGGTTTGTTTTGTGTGGACAACACAGTAAAATGAGTATTTTAATTTGACTGTTGGAAGAAGACATGCTAAGGGCCAAGGCGGTCAAAATACAAGAGGCGTTATTGAGAAAATCGGTGGTCTCGTGAACCCTAAAAGAAAGTCTCTACAAACAAAAAGAAGTTGCATGAGACCAAAAAAGGTTAGCCCTTCACGGGCTTGTTGGTGTACACCAACAAATGAATTGCTGTTATTCATGGGAAAAGATTCAAATGCTTTCCCATTTGTCATTTTCATCTTTTTCTCACTTTTACTAATTACTCCTCTCTTCTTTTCTTTCACAAATTTAAGGGGAAAAAAGATTTTTAAAATTGAATGGCTCTTAGATATTCTTTTTATATGTTACTTTAATTATTATGTGATATTGTTAGATGTTTTCAATATGCAACACCTATTTTATAAGCAACAGCCCTGATTTTGAAACCACTTTCTGATTTTATTAATTAAAGCCTCATTGCTAATTTTTACTTTTGGGTCATTAAGTGGCTTAGTTGTTTACACCAATAGCTAACTTGCAATAAAATTGTTGTTTCTCCCATATTAAAGAAGATGAAAGTTTAACTAAAATGGAGGTAGCTTAGTAGCAAAGAGCATTCATGAGATTGATCATCATAATTTAGGTCATTTGTTCAATCTTTTGCAATGTAAGCTTCCCTAGACTAGTAGTCTCTTTGCCTCTGAGGGAGAGCGAGAAAGATGGCTGAGTTGGTCTGAGGCGCTGTCTACAAGGGGGGGCCAGAGAGGGTGAGAGCCTCGTTGTGCCCGAACCTTGTCGCACCACGAGGCGCCTTTTGTGAAATGACTTAAAGAGTTGGAAGAACTCCAAAGTTAAGCGTGCTCATTTAACGAAAATCTTAAGATGCGTAACCACCTGGGAATTTCTTTATTCCACCTGTGGGATAAAACCGTGCGGATCATGTCAATCCAGTATTGGATGGATTCGGCTTGATCCAAAACAGACAATTTCTCTGGTGGTTGCAGTTGGGCGTGACAGTTGGATTCGGGTTTATCGTGGACCATACAAATGGACATGGGTTTGAACACCTTGTGAAAGTATATATATATATATATATATATAAAAAGATTTGAGAGTTTATTTACTAATTTGCTTATTAAAGGTCAATTTTAAACTTTAGAGTGCCACATGATTTTTTTTATTAAATTTCAAGGATTAAATTATGTATCCAGACATATAAAAATATATAATTGAAATTTAATTGATATCGATTGATAGTTGTTATTTTTATAATATTTTTAATATAGTTTTTATTAGGATTTTTAGTATTTTTAATTACTTTAATTAATAATATAGTTTTTATTAGGATTTTTAGTATTTTTAATTACTTTAATTAATTTTTATTTAGTTTTATTTATGATTTTATTTAAAGCTTCCTTAAATCATATTTCATTTAATCTGGAAGAATTTTGTAGGATTTTTATAGGAAACCAATTAAAAATTGAAGAGATGCTCA